CTCAGGTCCCAGAGAGATTCAGCACTGAGTCTGAAGCACGCTCTGATTCCTAGCAGAAGGGCTCCACGCCTCCTTCCTGAAACTCCTTTCCCACAGGAAAAAAATCATAGCTTTTTAGCTGCCTTTGTGGGATGGTTGTCAGCTGGGCTCTGTATCCCAGGGAGGACACGGGGTGACTTGAGCTGAAATGCCCGGCTTTACACTGCATCTGATGTCTCCACTGGCAGGTCAGGGTGGGGGCAGCTATCGCCTCCCTCAGTCATTTTGACCTGCGCTGAAGAAGGAAGGGGGTGGGTGTGCATTGCTCCACGAGCAATTCCACCTGTTTTGGCATGTTGTATCAGATCTTTAGGTATAAATTTAGGATTAAAAAAATGCATCCTTAAGTGATGTAGTTAAGCTCAAACTGATAGCCCAATCTTTGAAAACTGACACACTGATTTAGATGCTTGATGTTCTATGCGATGTTGCCTCTAAGGCTTGGGCTCTCAGCAATGGTTAGGTACTAACGACATTCCCAAATGTCCAACTTAGCATATGCAAATCCTCAAGGAGTCTGAATTCCTTCACTAGCTCATTTCTGCTGTTGGGCACATAGGAACTGAACTAAATATGGCCTTGTTTTCCCATCCCAAACCGCTGATGCTCAGAAGCAAGGTTCTCATTAGGGACAATCTTTCCCGTATCTCACCACTAGGACCTGAAACACTGAGCCTGGGCATACAACTGTGCCAGTCTCTTGTTGCAGAATAATCTGCTGACTACACCACAGATTCAAAGTCTTTTCCACCTGAACCAGAACTTGACCTTTTGCCTCCCATATTCAATTTTCAAGAAAGTCTTTCTCTTACTTTCAGTTGAAAATGTCATACTTTGACACTACCTTCATTAACAGTTACTTTTACAGGCTGTAACTGTGGCCAACAGGCTCTAATGAAATATGGATTCAAATTTCCACTTTGAACTGAGCAGAGTACAGATCCAAACTGAGGTCTTTCAAAGCCCATGAACATTTTAATGATGCTAAAAAATACTCTATGCTGGCATACCCTCCTCAGTGTATTTCTCATACCTTCAACTCAATTTCAGATTACTGGTAAGAACAGTACGTATTTTCTGCAGTTATTCTATGATATAGTAGATATCTAAGCTTATTATTATTATAATAACTGTAAATTAAATACTGTATAAAGGAGATGAAAAAATGAGAGGTACAAACCTGTAAGCCAGAGAGAACTGTAATGGGCAAGTCTATTGCAGGATAGTAGTGGACAGTTGAAGAATTATGATCTCCTGGGGAAGAGGTAAAGCATTGCCTTGCAGCCTCTCTGGAGTTCTATGAGGAGGTTAAGAGCTACATGGAAATGCCAGCTGCAGTGGAGGTGGCACACTTGAGCTTCCAGAAGGCACTTGACAAAGTCTGTCACCAAGCACCTTTCAGCAGTCCCTGCATAAGCTGGAGGGCCCTGAAATGCAGTTCAGTGTGTGCATTAAGGGGTGGAGCACAGCGGTGACTGAGTTACTCAGGATAAGAAAGGTAAGGGTAGAGTGTGAAGAACTAAAGAAAATCCTCACGATGCTAATGACAGGGGAATACACTGGCAGATTAAATTTGGAGTGTAGATATATGCAAAGTGACTCACAGACAAAACAAATCCCAAATTCACACATAAAATAATGAGCCTGACTCCAAGGTGAAATCACCACTCTGGTGTGAAATCCTGGGGTTATGATACCTAGTTCCAAGAATACATTGCATCAGTGCTTGGGGAAGAAGCGTGTGTCAAAAGGGAAATCACATATTAGTAGAGGTACAGGACAAAACAAACATCACTATGTCAGTGTAGAAATCTATGGTTTAAATACAGAACTGTGTGCAGTTCTAGATCCCTCATCTCCAAAAGAGTGTATGAAAAACTAGGAAAAGCTTGCAGAAGGACAAGTATGACAAGTATGGAATAGCCTTCATAGGAACAGAGACTGCGTAGCTGCTCAGTTGTAGTAAGCAACCGATTTAGGGGATACATACATGAAGCATACAAATGGCTGGGTCCCAAGAGAATGGATAGGGATGAAGTCTTTACTATCCCTTGTAGTGCAATATGAGTCAAGGATCATCAAATGAAGTCAGAGGAGGCAGTTTAAAAAAAAACTCTGAAAGGTAGATCTTTATACAACAGGTAGTAAACATGGAATTCTGGGAGGAGGTTGAACATATTAAAGGGAAGATGAAAAATACCTGGGAAAGAAACCCATTGAGAATTATTAAATAGCAAAACCACTTAGGCTCAGGAAATCACCTGAATTGAAAATAGTTGGGAGGACAAATATCATATATACTTCCCTTGCTTTACTGCTTCCTACACATCCACTTATAGGCACTGTGGCAGACAGGGTAAGGTATAAAACTGAGCCTTAATCCAAACCATTACAGTTGTAGAATGTTAAATACAAATCCAGTTTAATTCTATGCATTTGTTTCTATAGAAGATCAATACAAAAATCACTAAATAATTCCTGTAGTGTGTTCACAAGTGAATGGTTTGGCCATGTACTATTACAGTTCTTTTTATGCAGAGTTCTGAAATTTGGTTTATGAGCTCAACATAGCTAGTAATGATTCCAGGAGAGATGTGAAGGTAAAAAGACAAAGTGCCTTTTGCTGGAGGTGAGAGAGGGTGTCCTGGGTTTTTAAGTGCAGGAACATTCTGGAAGACAGAATTAATTTTTTAAATCAGTCGTTCTAAAGCTAATTAAAAACCTTACTGTTCTAACGAGGTAGGAGTGTTTGTGTATAAGCCAAAAACGTGTTTAAACTGCTGTAAGATTCTGACTTCTGCTAAGCAGAACGAAGTAACTTCAGATGGTGCAAACATCTGACTTATTGATTCTGCCTTCCTTGCAAACACAACATTCTCAGACATTGTCTATATGAGCAAGCTTTTTGGTGTGAGAAAAACAGATGAACATACCAGAGCACTGAAGCCTCTGTACTTAGACAACATGTGTTCAGTGGTTTTACTCTGGGCTAAATGTTGTCCAGGCTGTGCAATGGAATGCACCCACGTATAGGGCTTGAAGCTGTCCAAATGACCAACCTCTCATTTGGATCCCTGTTCCTCCATTTGCACACAGAATGCACTTGGCATGCAGCTAGAGCTCATTTTCTCATTTTATTTCCTCTGACAGGAATCTAGATCTGAACCACTGGGCTGCAAGGAATGACTGTGGACTGAAAGAAAGTGTTAATAGTTTCTCAGCTTGTTCCTTTGCGTTTTATTATGGGCAGAAGTTCTGCAAGAGAAAGGAAAGGTTTGTGCTCATCACCTGGGTGTAGAAGGTCAAATCACCAGCTGACAGGCACAGGCACTAAGAGAGGAGTTAATGGAGTTTTAATGAGTGAGCTGGGCCAATAATCACACATCTACCTGGCTTCTGAACTGCCTTCATGATAGGAATGCAATTTTAAGCCATGTCATTTTGAAAGATCTGAAAATTTGTACATTCCCATTGAGGATAATACTAGTTGTCAAATTTGTAATGAATTAAAAAAGTAACAGGATTTCACAGATTAAGAACATTTGCATTTTTCCCATTCAAATGCCCAATTATCTATCATCTGTGATGAAAAAATCAACTGGTCATTGAACTTAAAACCCCTTTTGTTTGAAACAGAATCAGAGACTTGTCTTCATTAGTATTAGCAAAGTGCTTTAAGGCTTATCAGAAAAGGATGGTAGCAATAGAAGTGCTTAGTAAGATGAGAGATGACTAACACATCAATCTTTTCCTTAAATTTAGATCAGTGCACAATGATGATCTTCTAAGTGCAGGGGCACAGATGTTTTGCTTATACAGATTATACTTAGGGAGCTAAGTATTACACTCATACAAAACTCTGAATTCAACTGTTCATGTACACAATCCTGCAAAATAGCTGCTAGGATTAAGAGAATTAATTACAAATAAATGCCCACTGAAATGAGGCTGTTTACCATATAAACACTCTAATAGCTAACCTGACTTTTCCCGAGTGGAATGTTTCTACTATAGGATTTTAACCCGTGGACACACATAATTAGCTCTTTCACCTTAAAGTTGCTGAAAGAATGATTTGCTTAAGAAGATTAGTCCTTTTAGTGTTCAATAGCAGTACTGACAAATGAGCCTAAAATGATTATAGGGGAACTCTTTTAACACCATCTTCTGATCTTTTATGTTAAGATAGCATGCCTTTCAGTAAAAAACCTTTTAATCTCACCTTTTGTATTTTTCCAAATCAAGGCTAAACTTTTAATACTTTCTGTATTCGAATCTTGTATGTGATGGGATTGTTTTCAAGGCTGTTTTGAGCCACACTGAAGACAACCACAATGGGCCCTTTAAATAGAACTTCAGTGCTAATTTATTTCTTCTGGTCATTGTAACTGCATGGAGCTTCCTGCCTGCACTAGAGCACTTTACCATGTCAGTGGTGACAGGACAACTCTTTCTGAGCCGTGCTGTACCAAAACAACTCAAGTTAATAATTTTCCAGAAGAGGGGTATTTTTAAGAGCAGAGGGAAGACAGAAGAGGTGATACTGAAAAGCAAAGACAGGAACAAAGCTGTCTCAGATGGGTTGTGGCAAGGAAATGGGTTTTTCAATCAGTTTGGCAGTATACCATAAACTTGAGGTGTAGAATAAGCACTGTAATAGAGCAAGCATTTTAAGTTGCCTACAGTGGCTCTATAGCTATTGTTTGTATGACAGTCTGTTTTCCTTTATAAAAACTAAGGGTCACATTTTGAATTATTTATACAGACTTACATAATAATCCTCCTATTTAAGTTAGTGAATTATTGGGATCCTTCAATGCTACAGAGTTATATACAAGCACGGAAATCATGTGAATTATATTTCTATTTTACCTATTCCTATAATTCTAGGTCTATTTATCAACCTTGGGATATTCATCTTACTCAGCTGTTAGAAACAACTGGAAGACTGATGCAATAAACAGAATTCAATTTGTATTATTAATTCTGATCCAGTAAAAATAAGTAGACTTTTCCATTTTAGTTTTAAGTCATACTGCCACCTACAGATTGAATAAACACTTGCAATACTCTGGTTAGGATAACAGGGTAACCCAGACGGAAAGAGGTCTCTGGTCCCTAGTCCAGCTGCCTCCACAGACCAGGTTGCTCAGAGCTTTATTCTGCTGGGTCTTGGAAACCTCCTCAGATGGAGACTGCACGTCCTCTGGCTGGCCTATTCCACTGCCTGACTGTGCTCACAGAGAAAAGTATTTCTTTTCAACCAATCTGAATCTCTTATTTCAATTTATGCTCATTGTCTCTTGTTCTCCTGCTATGTACCACTATGAAGAGCTTGGCTCCACCTTCTTGCTAACCTCCCCATAGGTACTGGGGAGCTGCTGTAGGTTCCCCCACGAGCCATCTCTTCTCCAGGTTGAAGAAGCTTAGTTCCTTCAGTTTCTCAAACGGCAAATGCTCCAGTCCCCAGGTAGCTTGGAGGTCCTTTGCTGACTTTGCTCCAGTTTTTTGATGTCTTTCTAGTGCTGGGGATCAAAACTGGACGTAGAAGTTAAATGCGGTCCAACAAATGCTGAAAAATGAGACATAATCCCTTCTCTTCATCTACTGGCTGTGTTCCTGCTAACACATCTCAGCCTGCTGCTGCTGCTGGTCATCCCTGCTGCCAAGGCACACGGCTGGCCCATGTTCAGCTGCGCACTGGGCCCCCAGGGCCATTCCCGTGGAGCTGCTCCCCAGCCTGGGCTGCTGCACAGGTGCTTCATTCCCAGAGGCAGCACTTTGCATTTATTCTTGCTGAATGTCATAAGGTTCCTGCTGGTCTGCTCTTCCAGCACGTCTAGGTGACCCTGAACAGCAGCCTGATCCTCCAGAGTATCCATTTGCTCCCTTAATTTGGAGTTATCTGCAGATCTGATGAGGGTGGGATGGGCCCAGGAGAGACCCTAGTGGCACGCAGTCCAGGTAGGGTATGACCCATTACCCGCTGCTTTCTGAGCCTCATCATTCAACCACTTCTTAATTGTCCACCTATCCAGACCATAATGTCCTAACTTAGTTTCAAGAATATTGTGGGACAGTGTCAAATGCCTTGCTAAAATCAAGGTAAATGACATTTTCTGCTCTCCCCTTTTACATAAATCCACTAAGTTTATCACAGTTAACTGCTTTTTTTAATTAAGAAAAAAAATATAAAAGCTTTTTTCCAGAGATGGTTCCACTAACATTTTTTTGCTACCATAAGGCCTCACAGTAACAGGACTAGATTCTGCATCCTAAAAACAATAAAACAGGTTTGTTTTTATTACAAATAGTTTTGCAGTTATATTAATTATTCACCTCATCTTGATGAGCTTAATTCAACAGGCACGAACATCTATGCACTATTTAATCCTGGAATATTTAGCATTAACTTAAGTTGGGGGATTCCTCAAGTGTCTGATAAAGTATCAGATGACTTGTCACAGTTGACTCAAGACTTCTACCTTTCAACACTTAGTCTCTGGACACAACAAAATCACAATGTATTTAGTGAACCTCAATACAGCAATTTTTCAGTTAGATACCCATCGGCTGCAAACTTGTAACATTAATGTTTGAACAGCCTTTAGTATAAACTATTTTAAAAAAATATATATTATGAAATAAAAGATACATTTGTTTGCTACAAACATTTTTCCAGGATTTAACTTTGCAAGTCAGATGTCTATGCAAATATGAAATTCGTGCTTGCAGCTTCTTTAAGTTCTGTTAGACCTGCCTGGCATAACACAGTTTTACTCCAATGCATCCAAGAGTCTGCAATTAGGGTTTGGAATGTTTTTGGAACATTCCAAAGGATTTTGGTGGGGTTTTTTCCTAATCAGCATGAATCTCAATCTATAGATTTTACCTGTTCCTGGCTTGAACCAGTTATTTTCCCTTATTTTCTTGGCATTATATATAAAATATCACCACTGTATAATATTCCTGCAATTTTTCATTAACTGGAATCTTAAAAGTCACATTTCATTATTTCTCTCAGACAAACTGTTGCATAACATGAAGGATCAAGGTCAAATGATAGATGAAGAGAGACTTTTGATTCATTCAGATGACTGTCTTCAATTCCTTTTTCACTACCTTCCAAAAAATATGACAGATTCTGAACATTTTTCAAAATGGGTCTGTAGCATCCAGGTATATTCAGTTGCAGTGAAGACACTCTGAATTTGCACATCTGCAGCTCATCCTTAGAAAGCCTTTCATGGTACCATTGGCCAACTTTATTACTGGGATACTTGATACTATGTCCCACCATTGGAAGAACCACCTTCAAAGAAAAATCAAAACAACAAACATTTAAAGTAAAGCCCACCAAATCTCCTTTAAATACATGTGATTACAATTCTAAATGTGTCTAAATCTTGTGTTTTGGGGCCTAAAATAGTAAAATAGCAGCTTATCTTGCGAAATAAAGCTGTGCAAGGCAGGTATCTTGCATATAACTAAAGCACAAATAATAATCAATGTCTCTGGATTCCTAAAACAAAACAGAACTATTCTAACATGAATTTCATTGCTTGTTGGGAAATATACAGCAATAAAGACATTAAGTTGCCTATGCAAGACTTCACGACTACACATTCTGAACCTTCAAAAATTAGAACATCAGCTGCTCTTGAACGTTTTTCCCAGTAGACTGAAAAAACTTTCAAAGTATTTATATTCAGCTTCAAGATAAATATTGCCATACTGCAAATGACACTGTACTTATTTCCATTACAAAGTAAATATTCTTTCCTCCTGTTTGTTATGACAGTGGAGATTAGTTCACATGCATTTTCTTTAACGTGCATTCTGGCAAGGAATAAGACTGCACCAGTTAGCTTAATCACATTTTTAAAACAAAACATTTTCATCGAAGTGATCAACAACTCAGAATTTTTCATACAGACTTACCTGGTTTATCGAATATTTGTTAGCTGACTCTTCCAGAGCTGTGATTACATGAACCTGACAAGACATTCAAGAAGATAAGAAAAAAAACCTTTTTAAAAAATAAAACATACACTTTATTTTAGGAATAAGTACTCCCAAACTTGCAAGGGATTCTAAGGTTAATTGACTTCTATAAGGACAATAATCTATTTCAGGTATGAAAAAGAGTACAGATGCTTAATATAAAGTAATCTTTACTGGCAAATGGCATTGCATTAAATATTTACTGATGATAACTACCACTAATTAGCAAACTATCTCTCCAAACTCATATTATTTGAGTTTGAAGTTGACTGCGCTAATGCAATCTTGTGCTACAGCAGCAAAAGCAAAAATACTAAGAAAAATGTTTTATATTAAATAGGAATTCATCTATATTAAACTCAATAACTCAATACTGAATTTGATACCTCTGCTTTTCATATTATTTCATCTACTTCTTTTATTAACATTCACTCTCAAAAATATTGTTGAAAAAGAATCACCATGGAAACAAGCCACTCTACAGGGACTGGAGGTTATTCAGCAACCTTTCAAGTGCTCCTGCTTTCAAATGTCTAAGATGCTCACACTAAAGAAAAGAGATACATTCCGCCTATGCACACATCTGCTCATTATCCAGTAAAACACTGCAAAATTCTATGCTTATCTGGTGATCAGGAGAATGATAGAATCATAGAACCATTTAGGTTGGAAAAGACTCTTAAGATCATTGAGTCCAGCTGTAAACCTAACACTGCCAAGTCCACCACTTAACCATGTCCCTAAGCATCACACATCTCCAAGGATGTGACTCAACCACTTCCCTGATCAGCCTCTTCCAGTGCTTGACAACCCTTTCAGTGAAGAAGTCTGTCCTAGTATCCAGTCTAAACTTCCCCTGGCACAACTTGAGGCCATTTCCTCTTGTGCTATCACTTGCTACTTGGGAGAAGAGATCCAACTACTTCCACAATAATAAAAAAAAAAAAGGTATGCTAACCCTGAAAGAAGAGATGGTTTCAGATTGGATTTCAGCATGCCAAGACCTGGGACCAGACACTCCACTGCTGGCTTCTGCTCCTTGGCTCACCCATGGCTCACGCACAGCACCCGGGCTGTGCTGTGGGTGAGCAGAAACACCCTCCTGCCCTTTACTCCTTTCCCAGAAGCCTGCTGCATTTTTTGAACAGCTGCTAACAGTTCAGACCCACTGTTATTCTGTTTTAATTGTCTGAGTAAGTGAAATTGTGCTAAACATGCTCTGACTGCGTAGTTGCAATGAGATTACCAGTTCAATTGGAGGCCACCTTTCACCATGGGTTTACATTCATGAATGTATATAATGGGGAAGTCAGGCCTGGAGAGCAAGACTCAGATCTGCACTGACTTATAATATAGGCACACCCAGGGTCCACTCTGAAGGTTTTCCCAGTCAGATCCTAAGAAGAGTATTATATATCATGAGGGCTAAATTCTTACATACTGTTCATTCTTCTCACTTGAATAAAATCAACAGTCAGAACAGATAAAAGCTGCTAATATACATCTAGTTTATATGCATGTATATGGTAAATCAAAAACATACATCACTTTTTCCACCTTTGTCACTAATATTAAATATTTTAATGAGTCAACCAAAAATAAAAGCATCAGAGTATGTATTCAAGTGCCTTAAGATATTTTTTTTTCTTTACAAGAACTATTTTGTGAAGACTCACCTTGTCATTCAGGGAAATGCTTTCATCATTTTCTTCTGAGAAGACAAGATCACCCTCAACAACTTTTGAACCATAAATCTTCAGCCTATATGAAGCTGCTTCATTCCAAATTTTACTGCAATAAGCATGGACATAGAATATGCGCATGGAATGAGGAATATTGAGCCATCCTTTGGTACAGCCTTCATGATTTACACCGTAGCGATTTAAAGCTCGTAGCAACATCTTTTCTCTCACTTTAAATTCTGGCAGCATCACGAGTGTGCCCTTTGCATCTTCTGATATAAACAAAAATAAGCATATAAGTAATCCCTGATTTTTCAAATATTATCTGTCAGGAGAAAGTACACTTAAGATGAAATAATCAGGTAGGCAAAAACAGTGTCAGTCTAACCTCTTCATGCTGACTTGAAGACAAATTTCATCTATGAAGACAAATTTCATGATATGCCTATCAACACAGTCCCACAAATTCTGTTCTATTTCATGCAGTATAAACTAAACTAGCTGTCATTCAGTTATTCAGTCTAGTTTGCACTATTTTATTTTTTTAGAAACTTATTTCATCACTCCAAAGTTTTTTTTTTTTGGATCAGGTTAACTGGAAGTAAAAACCAAGCTATAAAAGAACATTAAACCTCTACTTCACATAATTTAAGAATACGTATTTCATAGAGGGTAGAAAACAAGTCTTTACTTTAAAGGTACAAATTGCATTGGCCACTGGGAAGTCTGAGCCTCAACCAAGATGAAAATACATTTAATCAGATTTGTACTACATTATATAAATACTGTATAATTCAAACTGTATGGATTACGCATTTTCTCATTACAAGTGATTATCTGATGAAGCCTTTTGCATAGCCTTTTACCTTTCGCTTTTAGGAAAAGACAAGCAGCTCTTTTCAGGATCCACATCAATATCCTTCCATGCATCATACAACAATGTACAGCACAGAATGATTCATTTTATCTTTTTTGTGAAACGAAACATATCTATGTCTCCTGATGCTACATATCATAGTTGTTCTGTCAATCTACAGTGATAAGCAGGCTAATAGATGGGGAATATTTGAAAAGAAAAAATATATTTGAAGTCAAGAGCAAATTCAAATTTTTAGTTTTGGAGAGAAAGTTAAGTTGAATGATAAAAACAATAAATATGACCAACAGATTGTTTTACTCAGCACACTTCTGCCTTTGACATACTCTGTTGATTCTATTTCAAGAAAGAAGGTAAATCACAGGAAAGCATGGAGGAGATATGTAATTATAGATATATAAAAGCAAAGCCCAAAGGTGCAAAAAAACAAGAGTTAAGATTGTTACAGAAATCTCAGAAAATTAGATGCCCACACATGTTAAGTGCTGAATATGAGCCGGCTGCCTCATTCCTGTATAATTCCTTTGTTAGGGAGAAGTTTATTTTCCAAAAGCAAACAGATGAAAGGAGGCTAAAACTGCTTTGATAAAATTATCTTAGTCTTTTCCAACATTATGCTATACAGAATTTGTTTCTATACTGCCTTGCACCTGTAGTTTTCTACTATTTTGCATATTTAGGGCCTCATCCTCATCTAATTTTTAATTTTGTAACTCTACTGAATTCCATGGCTATAAGTGGTGTACAGCAGCAGCAAAATAAAAAGCCTCTCTCTGTGCAGCAACACCTTATTCCCTCACAGTACTGACCCTGAATAAATATACAGACGATTTAACTGGACATACCTGTTTGCAGAAAGTATCTTTTTGCGTTGTTTACAGGGTCATCACTATCTTCGGGTGTAAAGAATAACTTCACAGCTTTCACCTTTAAAAACCAGTATTAAGAAATTGTAATTTTTTGCATTTAAATATAACTATTTGTCAACTAAATAGACAACCATGCATCCAATTCTGTGTTAGCATGTTCTCTAAACTCTCAAAATTCCATCAGTTCTTTAAGGTCAAAGTCAAACTCTCCCCTTTACAAAAGATGCCATAAATAGCAAACGAATGTGGTTGTGTACCTTCTCAGATTAAAGAAAGGTTTTAGTCACACAGAAGACATCTTTCAAAGCTCTATAAGAAATCAGTCACTCTTCTTGAACATCCAGTTAGAACTCCTCCACTTCGTAATGCCATCACTCTATCCTGAACATGAAGGCCCCTTCTTTCCCTCCTGCATGCTTCATGCAAAATTTAGATTGAATGCTATCCACAGTCTCACCCAGAGGGACAACAATCTTTCTTTTTTTTATACCGATCTGTATTAGGTTAGATGACACTGTGACAGGGAAAACACTACACGAACCTCTGCTACTTGCAACACCAGTGGAGCCACACAATTTGCTAGCACTTATACCAGCCTGTGACATCTGGTTCTTGTCCTCGCCTGTACTGGACTGAGCAAGCACATACTGGCACATTTTTAATATAAATAGTAGTTCCTACATGTTTTAAATTAAGAAGTGACTGAGTTAGGACTAAACATTTAAATCATTCCTCTTCAGGGACTGGCAGCTGGTACCGACTGCTAGCATACCAGAATTCAAAATGTCAGATACCTCAACAGTAACTTTTATGGGCTGCCCTCAAATTTTGATTCTTCTTATATTTAAAGGATAAGTTTTCCTGACTTTTCTCAGAATCAAAACAAGATTAGAAGGATACTCAAGTATTCATTTGACTTTGTAGTATATGATCATGTTTTAGACCTGTGCCAAGTGCTATACCATATACATTGAAAAGTATATGACTCTTATCTTATAAATTATTACTTAAGAAATAAGCTCTCTCTAGCTTACATGAGAGCAATCACTCAGAACTTCAAACTCAAACTAAGAGTTTGGGAAAGCAGCCAAGGAATAATGGAAAGCAGAATTCTCTTCTATATAGCAGATAAATTACTGTGGTATTGAAAAAGCAAATCCTTTCGTATGATCCTATGTAATATCTTGTGACATTTTTAAGGAATATATGGACTCACAGCAGGATAAAGAGGCTACAAGTCAGGAGGCAGTCAGGACCATGAATAAACATTGCATAAAGGTTGCTTCATTTTAGCGTTCAAAGCTTGTATGGAATGCAGCCACTTTCCTGCTCCATGGAATGATGATGGTCACAATCACATACCAACCATAGACAGAAAAATCACTTCCTGAACTACTTAAAGCTGCACCTGCTGTTTAAAAATGATTTTTTGTTTGAGTATGAAGACCTTCATGCTTATGTTGTTGCCAAAACTGATCTAGCAATTACTTCTAGCACCCATGTGGGTTTATCTCACAAATGAAGTTGTTCACTGGGAAGGTCAACTCCAGCGCTAGATACAGCATCACTAATGTGAAATTAACTTGACAGTAACTACTTAAATTACAAAATGAAAATACCATTTTTTCACTCAGTAAAGCCAATCCGATTTGATCTGTCTGAACATTTTGTCCTTGTCCAAATCGCTGAGGTCCATAGTAATTTACAAAACCTTTTGTCTAAAATGATAAAGAATAAATACGTTAAAAGCATGGAATTACCTGGTACAATCAGTAAGACTAAGCATACAACACACAGACAGCTACATTTACATCCAAAATGCATATCAACTGTGTTTTTAATCAGAAGTAATATGTTACAAGATCATAACTCATGATTCATTACAAAATTTTAGCACCTAATTTAGAAACATCTAAAAAGACAACCAAGTTCTATCATTGTCTTCACCTTCATAAAAAAAAAATAGGTAAATGAAACAAAATTATTTCTATATAATTATAAATACAGCTACAGATTAAGTCAAAGTAATTAAGCTTTTTATACATGTCAAGTTATGAAATCTCTACTCAAGCAAATGCAGTATAGCACAGGTAATGAACAGTAACCACTGTTGGACATTTTTTCTTAAAACTACTAATCTTTTTTCACATTTTTTCATTTGTATTATTATTACAATAGTAAAGACCAAGAGAGAGGGCTTCTGCTAATTGGGATTTTAAGTCTTCTGATGAGTTCTAGGTCACATGTGGGCAGTAAAATCACAGCCATGTGACCCAATGAAAACATCCTTTTCTATAAAATAATAAGTATGCATGGAGTAGATACAAGCAAAAAACCTACGGCATTTATTTTGGAAATGGTTATTCAGTTTAAATTATATAACCTTGTTTTGGGCATCCATAGGTCCCATATACGATTTTGTTCTCACAGAAGATGAAAAATCAGTATTTTGGATTAACACACATGCTGTTTTTGTCATTCATCATCTGACCAGTAAGCTACATCTAATAAAGCAAGGCACACAATCACAGGAATTTTTGTTCATTTTCCAAACAGCAAAACAAACAAACAAAAAAAGTCAGATGGAGCAGAGAGAGAAAGAAAAGCATTAAAGTACCAGTTGAATGCTTTTTTCAATAGTAAAATTAATTTCCAAAATACATATAATGTCTTTTGCTTTTGCACACTGGGTAGTTTTCATTCAAGTCTTTATTTCTGGATTAATTTTCTTAAAGTAATTTGTAGTATGGTTATTACTTAGAAAGACAGGGCAAGAAAATTACTGTTGTACAAAACATCTAAAGTTTTTCCTTTCCATGATTTGCTTTTACTTTCCTCAGCAGTTTAAGAATGTCTGATGATGGGGTCTGATTTAGGGTCTAGGGATAACAGCAATCAAAATCCACTGTATTTCAGGGAACCTTTGTTTTCTGCCACAGACTTTTCATATCTATTTCTGCCATGAATGTTTTCCACCCGAGCTGACCATGCATGTTCCTCATGTGACCAGAAAGACAACCAGTTGACGTGTAACTATTCTTTCACACTGTCAACTGCCACAGTGAAACACATCTCTGCAGTCGGCCTTAGGTCTGTGCAGCAATAGCTCATACATCCACACTCATTTGCTACCAAATTTCCCATCTGTCTTGCTGCACCACTCTGGGGTCTGCAGTCTGTAACACAGAATGAATTCACTGATGGTCTCTCCTTGGAAGGCAGCTTTACTCCTGATTCTTTAAATAATGCAGGACAGACATAAAATAGCAAAAAGCATCAAAACTGGGAAATAGTGCCATTATTGTGCTATTAAAAGCATTTTCTTTGGAACTGTTTTACTTTTTACAGCACAGAATTAAAACTGTTCATTATTGGCAACCATAAGGCTCTTCTACCTCAACATTTTCCATTGCTTCAGATATTCTCTCCTTCAAATCTGCCGAATAGTCATGACCGTGGTGCTTGAGATCTCTCACAACTATATCAAAGTGATTGCCCTTCAGCTGACCAAGTCTAAGGTGCTGGCATGCGGAATGTATGTTGTGTATTCTCATGCCCTTTTTTTCCATTTTGCTTCCAATTTCTTTCAACCTGCATAAATAATTGGGAGAAATTATAAACCATCCTCTACTAAAGCTATCCAACTTCTAATAAATGTCTTCTTCAGTTTTACATTAGAATTAAAAACACTTAAAAAAAAAAAAAAAAGGATTTAAAACAGATTATTATGAGAAAACCAAATCAAATTCAGAGATAGAAGTCTTCAACTTATAGTCCAGAAATACTTTCTAAATGTTTGCTTCACTTGCACTTATATTCTGTAGCTGAACAGATACTGGAATGAAGTAATTCAATAAGCTTTCTCAAGACAACTGCACTGAATTTTGCATTTTTTACTGAAAAACAAGTAATTTACTCTTCATTCCTAAAAATCTGCTTTTCATTAAGGAAAAAAAAAAAAAAAAAAAGAAAAGAAAAGAAAAAATAATGTGCTCTAGCAGAATCCAAAACACAATTGCTCTTTCTTGGTCAGTCTTAACAAAAACAAACTCAGCACACTGATTCTCTGGGTATCCTTGCACATGCTTGTAATTGGAAACACAGCTGACAGTTCAAGTATTTGCCCTTTAAAGTATCCACTCAATCTCTTTGTTCTTGTGTGTAAGTAATAGTAATTCAAATCAAAGGAAACTTTCAGCATAAGAATTTATATTCTAAGCAATATTTTAATAACTTTATAAATTATTTATTTATCAAATTATTTATTTTCCCTGTTAGGCTAGTGGCTTGGAAGCATTTAACTACTTTGCTTAATCATTTAAACAGTAATGCAAAGTTTTGCTAATTAGCTATTGAACAACTGGCCTTACAGCCTAGTTTGCAGTGGAATTTTACTATTGATATATATTTATTTTCATAATAAACTCTAAAACCAGAAATTCTACTTTCCTTATTTGTAAAGTGTACTTCATAGCTAAGACCAAAACCCACTAGAAAGTTAAAGCTGAGAAAGAAATGTTATAGTTTTGATTCCAGCAATTTTTTACTGTTACTATGACAGAACTTCATATTTAATCCATTGAATTGACTACAGAGGTTAGCAAAAACGAGGAATGGAAAAGCACATCTTGTATTATTAACATGTTATTCAGAATGTATTTTCTGTCCTCAGGTTTGGTGATATATTCTTTATTTAGTCTCATGTTTCTAAACTGGACAATACAAAGAAGCTGATACTTAATGCTCAAAGATAGCATCTGTCCAAAGTATATTTGTAATGACCTACTTTAGTTTTGTAGCTGTATAAAGCTTTTAAGTTGTTGTCTGTTGACCACAAGACAATACTTTGACAGTACGTGGAAACCTGTTGCGTCATGTAGTATAGGCTTCGTCCTGGTTCCAGATAGTGGATGGCATTTAAGAAATTGTAACGTGGATCCTATGAGCATGAATTAGAAGGATACTGTCCCAGATGATATATTTGTATTATGAAAAACAGAGAGATAGGCAAGACTTTTCTTTAAATTCCAACACTGAGGGCCTTCAGCACTAAGCTGTGCATTCACTAAAGCCATAAAATTTTAAAGCCATTTTCACTGTGCTCTAATACAGGAGAAGGGAAGACACATGAGTAAGATCATTTCAGAAGATCATACCATGTTGATACTTATTAACATATAAAAATATGTGCTAGACTCAGTGCACCCAGACTTTAAGTACCTCTCAGGAGTCACCTTCTTCACAACCATAGGTTGGTAAGTAATAGCCTTCTTATCTTTGATGCCAGTGTAACTGAAGTCTGAAGGAAGAACACCAAGTTCAGCAGCCAACAAGCCAATTGCTTCTAGTGTTTCTAGATTTTCTTTCTGAAGGGTGAAAGCTGAAACAATCATCTCAGAATTATTAGGAATTTGCACTTCTAAATCATACAGGTGTTCTGACATGACAAATGGGCAGGTTCTTCCCTTCAAACTGTACTAGCATGGAAACTGCAAAGAAACAGTCCTCCCACCCCACAAAACTAAAGGAAATGGCACTTTTTCGATATTGAAATAGAAAAATAAAGACACGGTATGCAACACTCTTAGAACAACCAGAAACCCCTGCTGCATTAAAAATAGTACCTGATAAAATACAATATAATTCAGTGAACATATATTGACTTATTGCTAGAAACATTCTCTATATGAGAAATCAGTAGCTTTAAGGAATGAGATCATAAATCAAATTTGACCTTACTAACTTGTCCAGCATCTAGATGCATCTTCTAAAATCCCCCAATTATTTTAAAGGGAAAGCTAGCACACAGGGCATAACACAGAGTCAGTGCTACAAATCAAAAGAACTGTAGCCATTATCACTGAACAGCTTATGTAAAATCACTGCAGTAACTTGATTCATCCATCTCATTCTTCAGTAGTGTAACTACACCGCATTAATAATGATTTACTTCAGCATAAACAATAAGTCAACCAGGCCTATATATCTTATAAAAATGATTCGGAGTTTGTCTTACTAAAGAACACTGCAATACCTGACAGTATAACTAAAAACATAGTATTTACCTGTATAAATATCTTGTTTTTCTTGGAAAGCACCAGCAGACCTTTTTCTGGACCAACTTTTTTCACGAAATCGTACCATTATTGACATATTTGGCTGATCATTGACATCTGTCACAGTGAAAGACTTTGTTTCTAAAAGTTTTCCAAATTTTCTATTGATAAAGTGGTGAACCACTTTCCTGTGCTCTTTGTTTCTATCAGGCTCAAATGAAAACGTAGAGTTTTCTAGCTTTGCGTCTAAAAATTTAAAGAAATCACTTGTTTCCTTTTCAGTCACTAACTGACAAAGTTCTCTGTAATCAGCATTTCCTTTCACAATCATTTCACTGCCTTTTGTAACAGTGACTAGAAAGGGGAATTTCTCCCTAACAGCACTGTGTAAATCAGCTCGGTTTTTCTTGTCCAGTATAGGTCCCAGCGAGAACTCTCTAGTGCCAGCATCAGCATTGTTTTCCAAGTCCCACGCGTCCTTCAGGGAACAAGCAAATTTATTAAGCAGTTCACTCACGGGTTTGCCTAGTAAGGAATCCAATATACTGGCTTCCTCCTGGCCAGATTTCAGTTCAGGTTCACCCTCACGCTGTTTTTTGTTGGGGGGTGCGGCACAGCCGCCTCCTGCGCGGCCCGAAGGGCTGGGCGCGCCGCCACAGGCCTCGGCGCACGGGGCGGGAGGCCCCGCTCTCAGCTTTTGGGGTTGATGCCGGCACCGGCTACTTAGTTCTGGCGGCGCGTTGCTGGTTTTCCGAGGCGATTCAGCCCGGGTACCCCTAAACAGGTGCTCGGGCACCTCGATTTCTGTCACTACGAAGTCAGCCGGTGAGTTTTTCACAGTACCGCAGAAGCCAGTGTGATCACTCACGTAACTGAAGGAACGGAGCATGGCTCCCCTGCTCCCCGCCCGAGACCACTACACCTACAAGAGGAAAAAATTAAAAGAGGGGGTGGTAGGGGGGACGAGAGAAAATCTCGACTACTGCAGAGGAGGCTGCTGAGAGGCCAGGCGGCCGGCCGGGCCTCACTCCCCTCCCGAGTGGCCGTTACCGGCGGCTCAATGGCGCGGCTGCACCGCGCGGGCCCCGCTCGCGCCCCCGGCCCCAGCGAGCTGCCGCCAGGAGGCGCCACGACCTCCTCCCCCCCCACCCCGCCCCCGCTGCTCCCCCGCGGGAAGGGGCCCCAGGACGGTACCAACTCCTCCAGACGGGCGGGGGAAAGAGGAAGAGGCGCACAGAGCACCCCCGCGAGCTGTTATGGGGCGCGCCGGAGGGGGCGGGGGCACGCCCGGGCAGCCTATGGGAAGGAGAACTGAGCCGTCGTCCCCGTCCCGGTGACGTCAACACCGTCAGAGGTTGAGTCTCTCCCTCTTAAAGTGGAAGTGGGGCGGTGGGGACGGCGGGCGGGAAGCGAGGCGCGCGGGGCGGGTCGCCGGTGAGGTGCGGTGACGTAAGGAGGCTCCCGCCGCCGGTTGGGGCGGGAGCGCTCGCTGGGCGGCCGGGAAGCGGCTGAGGGCCGGGGTCGGGCCGGAAGGGGGGCGGCGGCTGGTGCTGCAGCCGGGCAGGGCGCGGAGCGGCCTTGGGGTCGGGACTGACGCCTTGCTTAACCGCAACCCCGGCGAACCTCTTCGGTAACGGCGGCCTTCGTGTTCCTCGGGAGCCGGAGATGAGCAAGCCCGTAACGACTTCGACGTACGTGCGGTGCATTAGCTACGGGCTCATGAGGCGGCTGGCGGATTTCATCGACCCGCAAGAGGGGTGGAAGAAATTAGCGGTTGATATCGCCAATCCTTCCGGTGAAAGCAGATACAACCAAATGCATATCAGGTGCTATGCAGGAGTCACGTAACATAATCCTGTTTATTAGCTCTTTAACATAAATACTGGTGCCCACCCCATACCGATGTCCGTGCCGTCACTGTAACTTGTTGCAGTTTGTGCGCTGATGGGTACTTAAGAACCCTAGAGAACGCGGGGTAATTACTTCTAATTGTTCTGTAGTTCAGTTTTCAGACAACCTATAGCCAAATAAAATTGTCTGAGGAAATTAGACTTAATTAGAGCCACGGACGTAGGTATTTTTAGCAATACAGCATAGGCTGTGTAACTTTCTGCACCCTCGAGACTAGTAATCATTGACTTCATTGTGCATATTCGCACAAGAGACAGCTGGACTGTAACTCCTAATTCACTGTTCCCAAGAAAATGTCCAACAAATGTGGGGAGCCTGAGGCCTAAAACTAACAAGTTTTAGAAGTAATGTCAGCAGTATTTTATTCACCTTGTGTGAAGGGTGTGTTGAAGCCTTCAGCTCTTTCAAAGATCATGAGGTTTTAAATACCCTATATATCATCTTGGGTTTCCAGTCTTTCTGGTGACATTAGCATTAAATCTTCATTGTCTTTCTATAATAATGGATCTTAATTGCTGCCTAGTGCCCATCTCACAGTATTCAGAATGAAACTTGAATGCCAGATGGATGGAAAACACTTAAATTTTTTTTCCATTTGATATGACTCTGACTTGCCCTCTATTTCTCACTGACATTCTCTTCCCTGTTAGTTCTGTGTGTCAGTATATTATGGGCCCTGGACAAAATGCTGAAGCCATGTATGCATATTTTTCCCTTAATTTTTCTCATATTTTTCCCCTGGGTTTCAATTTCTTCAGGTTTTTTAGCATAATTTTCAGAAGATTTGCAAATAATTATATAGTACAGCATGGTAAATTCAGAATTGAGAAAAATTTTTATTGGTCATTTATCTTTAATCTCCCTTCTTCATGGTTCTCAAGGTCACTTTCTGTTTTTTTAATGTTGGTCTTAATTTATCTTTGAAGGAGATTTGAGGCATTTGTACAAATGGGAAAGAGCCCCACGTGTGAATTACTTTATGACTGGGGAACAACAAACTGTACAGTTGGTGATCTTGTGGATCTGCTGATTAGGAATCAATTCCTAGCTCCAGCAAGCCTTCTGCTTCCAGGTAACTTACTCTTGTACGTCCTGTACTGTGTTCTTAGTTTTCTAAGATGCTACAGAGGTTCACAGAAAATCAGAAAAGATTGGGTCAAAATAACCAAAAGTGGACATATTTTCCATTTTCCGTTATTTGTAATAACAGTTTAAATAAGAATTTCCACTTTAAAGAAAAGTCCTGCAGCTTACATGTGCCAGAATATGACCTTCTCATGACACTTAAGTATCTCCTAATCTTAGTAAATACTGGCATTAATGTCACTTGTTTTTCTGATTCCTAATGCAGTTAACACTTTTTCTAAATTCCATTTTCAGAAGCTGTAAGGATGGCACAAGAAGTTACGTTACCTCTTTCTTCACAGGATACCTTGCCTATACATGAGAAACAGCTGCCTATACAGGAAAAGGAAGTGGCATCTGTAAAGCCTGTTTTAGCTCAGAGTACTGAGAAGCAACATTCAGCTCCTCCCTACTTAAGTCAAGAAAATAGCAGCTCACAGTCCAGTAACACAGGTAGGCACTTAGTTTGGTAGAATTAAGTACAGTCTTTTTTTCTTATGTGTCCGTCGCCCCACATGAAATAAATCATAGCAATGCATTAGAGTAATGGCTGTATTCCTATCATCGTGCATCTATGGGAAACAGCATCTTGCTTTTGCTTTTGTTCTGTGTGGCTGTGAATTTAGCCTGGATAATAAGATGTCTGAATATGAGATGCAGCTCGCCAGTGAGGCGACTACTGTGATGGAAGACCTGGCTGTCAATTAAATTGCAGTCTATTTTGTTCTACACATAATCCTGTTGCCCTTTTTCAGTACTGATTTTGTAGACTGTTTAGCATCTTGTGTTTTAAAGCTGGATTTTACTTGTCAGAAATTAATAAGAATGGTGGAGAAAAGATGTCTAAGGAAAACATTCTAGGAAAGTATGTGGGTAGTCTATTCCTTCCTAAAGGTCTGCTTTTGGGTTGCTGCCAGAAACGTGATGTGATCTAGATACATTTTTATCTCTGACACAGTGCCTGTGTCACATCAGATCTCTCTGTGATCCGCTGCACATTTAATTTCTATTACCTGTATTATGAGAGTTAACAGAAAGTCCAGTCAGAAGGCTGCTACAGTGCTAGCTGTGAAAAAAATTATGCATAGTTCATTACATAAATTTATCTGCTTTTTTTTTTTTTTTTCCTGGTGTCTTCATCACAGAGCTGGCAGTCGGGCTCCACTGTGTCGGGATTTGTATGTTAGCAAGTTTTTGGTTTAATAGAACTGAAGCAGAGAATCTATTGAATACACTTGTTCTTAAGTGAAAACATGGTTGTGCTAAATGGCAAATATGTCTTTCAGATTTCCAAAAATTTTGGTTTCATGACTTGGAAAGTGTTACAAATAATTTTGATGCACGACCAGAATCAGCTGGAGGCAATAAACTGGGAGAAGGTGGCTTTGGCGTTGTGTTCAAAGGCTTCATCAATGGCAGAAATGTGGCTGTCAAGAAGCTCATTGCTGTGAGTTGTCCTGGGTGTTTTTAATGAGTCTGTACGTTATAGTGTAGACTTGTTTATCTGTGCAAAGTGTTTAATGGTACACTTCAAAAAGTGTCACCATGCTAAACAATAGTTGAGTTGAGTAACGTGCCCTGTAGTCCCATGAGTGGTATGAGTTGGCACAATCGCCAGCGATGAAGTCTTGCCCTTTCTGTAGCTCTCCTGCTCTCCTTTGAGTGGCTCTGGCAAGTTGTCTGGAAGAGCAGAGTGCTCCCCCAGTTTCCCTCCCTCCCCTGCACGCAAGAAGTAGCTGAAGGGAAGCGTTGTTAGGGAAGTTTCCCTTTCAGAGTCAGATAAATGATTCACAAGCTAAATAGGTATTGCCACAGAATTTTAGTCTTCATAACCAGTGGTTTGTGTGAAGAATTAATTTTGTAATAAGTGCTATTATTGGGTAGGTGCAGTGAAACAAAACGTATAACTTGATGACTGCTGAAACTGGATCCATTTGTCCAATAACACTGTGTTCCAAGGAATTCAAAATCATGTCCTGATTCTTTATTTCTGAGTTGAGTAAAAAAACCATATTGTAAACAGTTAAGTAGTTGCTGTGTGTAACTAATCTAAAAGAAGGCCTATAATTCTGAATTTTTTTTTAAGTGAACAACTGTGCACTTTAACCTGGCCAGTGATACTAACATCAAACACTTCCTTTTGTAGATGGTTGATGTTAGTGTTCAGGACTTGAAACAGCAATTTGATCAAGAAATAAAAATGATGGCAAAGTGAGTACAGTGTTACACAATGTCATTATAGTCTTTTATGGGAATCTAAGTTGGAAGATAACGTCAGCTAGTGTGATCCCTTATTTTTGTCTTTCTAGCATAACTTAATGATTTTCATGTAAAGTGGGAATGTTTCATATATGACATTACTGTATTTTGTTTGTTTTAAAGCACTGTTGCAGAAACCTGGCTATGTGCAGTAGGGCTGAAACAAGTAATTGGGGATTGAGTTCCCTCTGCCTTGTATTTTCCTCAAATGTTGTGAGTCTTTCAGAGCATATGTGAATAGAACTTTTTTGTTACAGGTGTCAGCATGAGAATCTAGTAGAATTACTTGGTTTCTCAAGTGATGGTGCTCAGCCATGTCTAGTATATGAATACATGCCCAACGGTTCATTGCTTGACAGACTTGCTTGTCTGGTAAGTAAAATATTTTCTAGCTTCCAGTTGTATTATTTTGCTGAAATATAGATATCTGTGAAATATATTTGAAACAATAATAAACTGAAATGGCCAAATGATGTTTTACTACTTTTGTATGCTAGAAGACAAATGTTATAACAAGTATTTTTCCAATAACTTTTTATACAAAAGTTTTAGATACATTTAAAATCAAAGCAGGCTGAAAATGCAGTGTCATGTAGCAGTACCAGAAGTGGCACAGGAGCTTGGCCTTGCTGTGCCTGCATGGAACAGAGCAGAGCGTGGTGCAGTATTGTTCCTGGTCCTGACATGGGCATGTTCTCTGCTAGTTCTTGAGATTCTGCATTTTGGAGTTGCCATTTGTTCATTGCCCTTGTGATAGAGGTTGTAACACAGTGTTCAGAGTCTGCGTATCTCTTTCTGAAATGCCTAAATAAGTGGGAAATATTTTTTTTATTAGTATTTTGTATAAATGCAATGCTTTCTTCTGATTTAATCAAATGACGTATCTTCTAGCCTTGGCCTTTAATAAATAGTAAGTTGCTTTGTTTTTCTGGTGAGGCAACTCTGTGTATGAAGGACAAACAGTTGCTTGTTAGAGCGATACCAACAGTAGGCCAGACTTAACATAGTAGATGAATGTCCATGTTAGTTTGTTAAAGGAGTTAAAAAATACGCTTTCTACTAAGCAAATGCAGCTTCTGAGGTTCTGGTGAACATTTTAAACTGGTGCTACTTCAACCCTTCCATGCCGCCAAACCTAAAAAATGGTTTTCTTTTTTCTGCACCGATCTTCCTGTTATATTGGCCCAAGCATTCAGTACCTGGAGAAAGAGCTGGGTTTGGGTTAGGGAACTGATCAGGCTGGAAAAGTACTTTGCGAAAATAATCAGGCTGCAGAAATACTTCTGCTCCAACAGGAAAAAAAGTGGTGTTAGGGTAAGAATGAGTAGCAGTGGTTTGGGAAAAAGATTGGATATGTTTGGGAGCACTGCTGTCTCATGTTGGTTTAGTTGATTTGCTTGCACACACTTCCACATTTGCAATTTTAAGATTTTTTTTTTTTAAAACTGAATCAATGCAGAAGAGAGACTAAGTTTTACTTAAGGCGATGCAAGTTTATATGTAAAAATGAGCAATGCTTGACATGAATCCTTATGAAAATGTTCATTCATGTAACTTTGGCCATTATCGTCATGTCACCTTAAAAGAATGGTGATAATTGAAAGCTAAAGTAGAAATAACTGAAGCCTTTACAAGGAAGAGACTAACTTATGATGTAAATCATATAGAATCTAAATCAGAATATATAAACTGGAAAATCTTCTTTGGATAAAGTTGAATGTGTGAGGAACGTGCATATTGAACGTGTGTTCTCGCTGATAACTTCATTCCGTGACTTCACTGGATGCGTTTGAGGTTTGGACTCTTATGTCATCTTCTTGTCTGGGCTTTGAGGAGCAGGCAAGAGAGGTGGTAGAATGATGAGGTACTCTAATCATCTTTCCTTGGCCACTGAGAAGATTAAGAAATGTTTTTGAAAATGTAGGTGTCTTCTCTTCTAAGGTTTAGTTAGTAATGTGAATCAAGCTAAACTCTTGAGAAGTGGTAAATCCAAAAACCCTGGAAGATTCACTTCTCATTGTTAGTAAAAACTGTTGATTGCTTTTGAATGATTTGCTTTGTGTTAAAAGTCTGTGGTATCAGTGCTGATACAAAGTGAAAGGTGTGGTAGATGTAGGTAGTTCTTTGCAGTGCAGCTCACCTTGTAGGGTCAGAGTCTAATATTACCAAGAACACTTTTTGCAATGAGTGAATAGATGTAAAGCAAAATTCAGGGGAAGGAACTGAATGTGACAAGTGCATGTATTTCTGCCCAAGGAAATGAAGAGATGTATCCTATTAGTCTTTTCAATTATTTACTTGAAAACCACAAAACATAGCAAGAAGTGGGGGTTTTGTATGTTTTGTTTTGTTTTATGTGAGAATATATATATTAGATTTTCACCTTGCTACTTGCCTTTCTCCCTTCTTATTCAAGGATAACACTCCACCAATTTCTTGGAATACAAGATGTAAAATTGTTCAAGGTACAGCAAATGGCATCAACTTTTTGCATGAAAATAATCATATTCACAGAGATATTAAAAGGTAAAAGTTGCTGACTATTGCTGGCTGCATTTTCCCTTTTTCCTTTTTTTCTTTTTTTTTTCTTCTTCCTGTTAAAGTCATTTTAGAGAGAACAAACTGCAAGAAGCATTGCTTCAGTCAAGGACACAGTCTTTTCTGCAAGTGACATCCATCACCATAATCTTGTCTGTGCCACAAGGACATGACCAGTACAGACTTCTAAAGATAATTACGAGGCTATTGTAATCTATTACTATCAAATAGTTATTTAAATGCTTCGAGGACACCCAGAAGTTCTGTTCTTTCACAGCTGCTGCTAATGAAAAAGCTGCTGTTAGAGAACATAATGACTTTTGAATGGGGATTTTTTCAGATGAAAACCCACCTTTTTTTTTTTTTTTTTTATTACTAAAATATTTCTTCAGAGTATCTCCTTTGATTTACTGCTGTTTATTATGAAGATGGTAAAATTATTTCAGTCAGGTTTATGAAGTTCAGGGTTCTTCAAGGATAATGTATATTCACTTGTTTGTTATACCAGAAATTTTTCCAGGGATATCAGACCTCAGAAAAGGTGGAGGTTTTGTTGTAGTATTTGTTTTTTGTTTGTTTGGGGTTTTTTTCGGGTTTTTTTTCCCCTTCCTTGCTACAGTTTGTTGTGTTGTTTTTTTTAAAAAGCAAAGCAGTCCAAATCTTTGAAGAAAAGCCCCAGATGCCTTTCTCCTGTGGATTAAGAAGGAGCAACTGACTGGTTGGGTGTCACCGATGAATGTTTCAATAGCTTCTTGGCTTCTGACAGCTGTGCTAAATGTATGCCGCTTTGGTTTTGTGTCCTTCCAGCCTGTGAGGAACAAGTTTTTGCTTTAGCTGCCTCATAAAATGTGCTTGCTGCTTTGACAATTTATGTTTCTTCTTTCTTCCCTGCTTAAGCCTCTGGACAAGTGTAATGACTGGAAGGGACGCATTTTTTACCTTACGCTACTCTACCCTTCTAACTGCTGTGAGTTGATCATATTATAGGATTGGGTTTTAGTTTGTTTTGTTTTTTCTTTTGTTTGGATTTCATTTTGCAACCTCTTGAACTTGCGGTGTGAATAGCTCAATAAATTTGGTTGGTGTTAATAACAGTACTACCACTCCCAAGTAAAACTTAGATGAAGAGATATCTAAGGTGGTGTACTTCGGTCTTCATTTTGCTAGGACATGTGGAAACAATTTGTAACCTCACAGGCACTAGAACAGCTTCTCTGTAGGCTAGAGAGGACATGATTGAATGAGTGTTCTCAGAGTTGTTCATAGTTTTTTGGCTTGGCTGTGGCCGGGAAATAGTTCATTTATCTTTTGAAGTGTGGCAGTTGCAGTAAAATTTGCTTCTGTTGTGCCCTTTGTGGTGTATCAGAAAAGTGACCACCTTTGAGCTTGACTCAGGTTGGTCAGAAGCTGAGTTACGAAGCTGTGATCCTGTTCTTCATTCTTTTATAAGTTGAGTTTTAAATACGAAACAAGTTGGTGGATGATGGCTTGATTAGTTTTTGGCCTTTTGCAGTGGACTTATATTTATTTACAGCAGTTCTAATACCAAGTGATTTGTTGTAAGTTACAGCTGATTTAACTTTGTTGTGAAGGTTTGGGGAACAAGAAGGGGAAGTTAGAAATACAAATTTCTAGTAAGTGTTACTTGTATCTGGCTGTGTAGTTTTCTTATGGTTTCATTAACGGGGTCAGAAAATGAGGAGGATTACAGAAATATTAAGTGTTTTAAAATGGTTCCAAGCATTACAAGTTTAAAAAACAGTAGAAGATTTATGCTGTAATTCATCCCACTGAATATTTTGTGAAAATGTTAAGGCCTTTTAGATCAGTTTTGTTCTTCAGGGGTTTTCCAAGGGAAGTAAAAGCTGGAGATCAAGTGGAAACACAGCATGTACATTATTCCATCTTTAATAAGTTTTCTGTTTCTCTTCCAGGAGAAGAATAAGAGTATTAGTCTTCATTTAGCATGTGAATTTGTAATGGATGACATAGTATTAGATAATAGATATAAAAACCTGCTTTTGTTAGTTCTGAGTGGAGATTTAGACAGTTAAGGATTGTACTGTGATCCAGTACCAGTTGATCAGAGCTAAGTATTCTCAATTATTATTCTTAAAGAGTATTCAGATCCAAAACACGGGTGTAAGATAATTGGTCTCTTATAAGAAATTTTTGTATTTGTAGGATATGGGGAGCTTTTTCCTTGTTTTTTTTCATTTTTTTTTTTTTTTAAATATGCATGCATGCATGCACGCACAAAAAAACCCCATGGATGTATCCTGGCAGCCAGTTCTTGATTTATTTGGAGCAATTAATTTTGAAATTGAGCAACTTCCAACATAATTCTTACATTTTTTGTTATATGAATAACAAATAAATATCTTGAAGAAACAGTCAAAATAGCAGTTTTCATTTGGTTATTAAAGAGTTATTAGTCTGTTATAAAACCTAATTACTGTACTGGTTTGGAAAATTAACTTACTTTTTTTTTTTTTTTCCTCCCCTTTCCCCCAGTGCAAATATCTTATTAACTGAGACATATATGCCCAAAATTTCTGACTTTGGACTTGCAAGAGCATCTGTAACATTCACACAAACAATCATGACTGAAAGAATTGTTGGAACAGCAGCCTATATGGCACCTGAAGCTCTGCGAGGAGAGATAACACCTAAATCTGATATCTTCAGTTTTGGAGTAGTAAGTAACATGTGGGAAGCAGTATGTGACTTTGTAAATGATAAAAGCGTACAAAATCAAGAATATCTGAAATTAAATCATTCACTCTGATCTACCATTTCTCCTTTTCCCAGTAGATGTGCTCTTAAGATAGTATTTCTAAACTTTGAATAGTTTTAAATCATTTGAATATGTTGATTAAAATATTGAATTTGCTAATGATTAAAATAATTATGTTAAAATGTAAATTTGCATGTGAAAGACCGGACTAAAATAACATTCCAAGTTCTAGCTAAATGTAGTTTGAAGTAATGTGGAACATTGTTTCTTCTTGAATAGTATTACAGAAAAACGTAACTCAGGGTGGAAAAAAAATTTTTTAAAGAAAATGTTCCAAAATTAAGTGTGGTTTACTATTTTTAATCACCAATAGTATGCTGTCCCATGTGGGATTTGCCTTAAAGCTAAAGAACAAAAAAGACATGAGCTTAATATTTGGAAGAATAAATGAATCCATTCTGAACAGATCCAAGACCCTAATTGCTGTTGACCACTTCCTTCGTGGCATTTAGTTTCATGGGGAGGTAGGCCAGAGGCTGTTCCTGAATGTTTTCTAAATCCTTCCATCTTGCTTTGAAGCAACACACTGTAGGGTGAGTAGAACTTGGGTTGAAATTCATAAGCCACACTGTTAATAACAGTTAATGAAAATAAAGGTAGGAACAACAGCAACAACAATCAGTTGTACAGAGAGCTGTCTTTGGACAAATAGAGATGCTGTGACCATTTGTTTGAAAGACAAATGGTATGTATGTTAAGGGTTATTCTATGCTTCATTTTCCTTTTTTTTTTTTTTTTCCTCCTAGGTTATACTAGAAATAATAACAGGTCTTCCCCCAATAGATGAAAACCGGGAGCCACAGTTGCTGGTATGTTCTTTTTGCTCTCTCCTCCCCTTCCCCTGCTCCAGCATCACTTTATATGAAATCATAGTCAGTTAACAGATTCTGAGACAATCAAATTAGATATCAAAATATGTAGTTATAAAAGCAGCTCTTGTGTCAATGTTTGTCGTAGAGGTGAGGCTGAAACTTTTCTCTCTTGGCTGGTAGAAGACTGTCCAGTCTGCAAGGTATCTCCTTCTCATCTGATACTATAATTCTCTTTGTTTTGGTACTGCTTCTTCTTGTAATACCATTATGCTTTATCAGCATACTCCTGTTATACCCAGATACCCTGATAGTTCCTCATTCACCAGAACATTTTAACTAGTCATCTCAGTTGTTTATTTATGGTTCCTTATACTTCTTACCATTCCTGTATCATTTTTCTTAAACTTCACTAATAATTTGTGAATGCTGTGTGTCTTTAACTTTAAGAAAGTTTGGAATCTAAGGGCTTTTTCTGCAGGGTGAGAGGTGGGTTGAATTGTGGTTTTTTTTTTTTTACTACTCAATTAGTAATTCAGTCTACTTGGAAAACTAATGTCTCAGAGCTCACTCTTGAATTACAAATCTTACAAGGCTGTTCTTAATTTATCCTTTCACTTAGCTTAAATAAAATTCTGAACTACTTAATCCAAGGTTTTCCTAGAACATTTTTTACATAAAGACTTACTTATTAGAATTTTTTCCTCCAAGTTGTATCTTCCAAAGTAGCATAATACTTATCCTGTTGAGCTCCATAAAGACCGTGGAGAGCTCGGTCCCTATCAAATTGAATCTCCAGGTTTTGGGGATTTTTTTGAAGCAGGTTTTTTCAGAGATGGGATCTAAAAAGGAATATAAAATATTATTTGACTGGTACAGTTTATCTTTGCAATGTACTTTTAGAAGCATAAAGAGAATGGTCAGTGCAAGATAATGTGGCATCCTTAGCTTCGAAAATTTTGGGGTAGTTGAATGTTAGTTAGCAATTTCAGACTGACCCATAGAGGAAGGCAGAAGACCTGCCTCCACTCACTGACTTTTCTTGCTTTACCATACTGACTTGTCTGAGGTTTTCCTCAAACAGTATTTGTGATTACAGATCACAGATAATGCATTTCAAGTGTGTTGTGGCTGGAGAGCTTTGACCTAAACCAGTCAGATTTAAGAATTTATTTCAGACTAGAAGTTTCCTTTAGAATAGATACAGCAACCAGTTAAACTGGTGACAGATGGCATTAGTTTACAGAAAGAGGCTTTATAAAGTTGATAAGAAATTATTCACACTTAAGCTTGCATATTTATGAGTTAAGTAAACATAGATACTTTATGTTGATCATGCTTCTTGTAAGAGAGACAATACTCAGAAACTGGGCCTTGAACTGGGAGAAAAATAAGATGTATGATGCAGCTTAACACAAAATCGTAAAGCTATTTTCTTTAACTCAATTAAAAATAATGTGTAATAAAAATGTATAGTTCAGAGTCTCATAGGCTATTTCTGCAGATATTGATAATTATGCTGCTGAACCATTTGTCTAGAAAAGTGGTTGAGAAAAGAACACTCAAAAGCAAGTTTTCTAATTGTTAGTGTGGAATACATAATGTTCAGGTGCTGACAATGTTATCTGCTTATTGTTTCAAATTCTCTTCTAGTTAAGTATCAAAGATGAAATTGAGGATGAGGAAGCAACTGTTGAGGATTATGTTGATGTAAAGATGAGTGACTGGGATGCAACTTCAGTTCATAAAATGTATTCGATTGCTGATCGGTGTCTAAATGAGAAAAAAAATAGAAGGCCAGACATTAAGGTGGTATGTACTCCTTCAGATAAAAGGCTTGTTCTGAGTGTGTGGCCCTGTGTGTGTGGTTACGGTATCTGTTATTTATATTTCTCTCTCTTCTCTTGCAGGTCCAGCAGCATCTACAAGAGATAAAAACTTGATATGTGTTTCTTCTGATACACAAATGTTTTTTGTAATGGAGTAGACACCAATAGTAAATATTTTATTAGTATTTAGTGTGACATTACCAGCTTTTATGCTTTCCGTAACTTTCTGGTCTGCATGTAAGGTGTGCTGTTGGCCTGTCACCACCGTGTTGTGTTTGTTAACTGTGCAGCCTTTTCACATATCCTTAGCCACTGGGCCCTTAACATGAGAAAATTTTTTTTTGTATTAACAAATTGCAGTGCTGGTACATCTTCTCCACATCTTTTTTAAATGCATTTCCATATTAGAATCTATTTGATTCTTTTGTTTTCCAAGTATTAAGTATATAACAGCATATGATGGCAACAGGGTAGAATGTTTTCTCTGCAAATTACTTTATTCATCAGGTGTACTAGACCTTTTTCTATCCAAGACAAAAACACTTAGTATATAGTGACAAACCATTTAATTTTTGTTCATAGGAAGACTCTTGACTATTTTGAGTATTTTACACTTTAGGAGAAGATTCCATATGGATTATAAATGCAGGTGATTCGTTTTGTTAAAGGGGCCAGAGTAATAGTTCTATTAAGACTAATTCTGTATTTTCCTTAGTCAAATAATTGAGCTCTTTTTAAAAAAATATATATGTGTATGTATGTATATTAATAACTAAATACTAAAATACAGGTTTAAAAAAGCACCATTGAAAGGTTTCTGTATTAGAAACATTGACAGATCAAAGCAGACTGAAAATGGAATGGATGGGACTAGTAAGATTCCAGATACTTTGGACTAAGTGGGTATGAAAATACGACCACTGTATATGAAAGGTTATTTTCATATAAACCTGGTTTGCACCTCATGAACTTTTTGTTGACAACTTAGGGGTAGGAAGATAGTCTGTCTTACAGCTAAATTCAGAATTCCATGATTATCAAACAAAAATGAAACTGAGAAATGATCTGACTGCAGTAGGGGATATGTGTATCTTTGTAGAAAGCATGTGATTTCTAACACTTGTATCATTAGATCCTCTCCTATTAACATATTCTGTATTGCCTTTTCAAATGGATGGTTTAATTCAGAGAAAGGTATCTGCCTAAACAGCTTCTAGTTTTATTGAGCATAAATTGTAGAAAGCTGTAAACATAAATAAAACTTCTGAATTATCATTGCAGATGATTATTTTTGCTATTAAACTTTGAGCCTTGGAAACAATTCTGTTGCTTCCATTTCTGATAATAACATTATGCTAACCTTGCTGCATGGAATAAAGCTGTGCAGCACTCTGAGCCTGGGTTTGTGGGGAAAGAAAAGCTGCTGTATAGCTAAATCAGAATAAAATCTGGTAAAGCCATTCTTCAGTTTTAAACATCTCCAGCTGTTACATGAAGGTTTCGTACTAGATCACGTCTGCTTTTTACTACTCCCTGGAGCTAGAATACAGCCATAATGTTGTCTTGAACTGTGTTTGCTGTAATAACTCCCCAGTCAGTGCCATTCACCTCTGCAGTAGAACAATTTTGTTTATGCACCAGCTGTGATGTTCTAAGTATTAGGAGAATCCTAGCTACAAGCACGTGAGTTCCTGTTCCTCTGTCATAGTAGACCATGACTATTTGCAGTGCTGCTGTCAGCACCTAAGTTTTGGCAGTAGTTTTCCCTCTCTCTGAAAATGAAGCATGTTAGCTACCATTTAATAAAATCAAAAAATAGTTTTGAACTCATTTAATATTATTATAGTGAGGAATGAAAATGTGAGGTGTTAGGTAATCAGGTAAAGGTAGCTCACTTAGGTGGGAATTTTTCAAAAAATGGTGCAAGGATTTTTTTTGAGGTCTTCATACAGTAAAGTCAGCACTTACAGACACTAACAGGGGCCCCTGCAAAACCCTTAAGCTATTCTAGGATCCATATTTCAGTGTATTAATTACTCTCATAGAGCTTTCCAGAACACAAATTGGTAACTTGAGCCGCTTTGATTAGAGGGATGATGTAGTTCCACAGAACTGGAGGTGAGAGAAAATTTGGTATAGTTTGTGGTGGCTGAAGAGAACTCCACCTGGGAGATGCTCTTGGGATGGAGACGGGGCTAACATGGCTGGCCTAGATCCTGTCTCGGTGGGTAAGGTGCCATGGAGGGAGGACATCCAAGGATCACTATCCTCCGTGAAAGAGCCAACTTTTTGCATGTTAAAGATCTAGAGAACTGTAACATAAAACAATTTAGTCACCCCCAGAAAGAAGTATGAACAAAAACTAGCCAGAATGGTTTATTACAATTCCAACTAAGACTCTAGAAAGAAGTAGCAAGATAAAAGCAAATGCTAATGAGCCAAATAAAATTACTGTTATGGAAAAATTAAGGCAACAGCTCTCCCCTTGGCCAGAGCAGGAGGTAACAGGATGGTGGTTGTGAGTCAGACCAGAGGTGTCTGCACCGCCTGGGGGCTGGGACACGGGCCAGTAGTGGCTGCTGAGGGAAGAATGCAAGAACTGTACTGGTATGTAGAGATACGGCACTGGAACACGATGGCTTTGTACCGTTTGCAGCTCATTAACTTTGAAAAGGATGCGAGGCATTAGTTATTAAGCCTCTATCAAATTTGCTTTCATCAGTTTGTCCAGTTGCCTGTTGCACCAACACACCTTTTACCAACCATAACACTTAGTATATTGAAAGGGGAAAAATTGCTTCATCTTTTTATTTGGGCTGGCCAGCGTAGAGTTTTATTTAACATCCACTGACCAAAAATCAAATAAAACTGCTTCTGCTATTCATGGTCACATAGAGGCCTAGCCTATTTCCTCCTCTTGCCTTGCTCCTGCTTCTTTTGCAGGAATAGCTTTTTTCCTCTATAGCATTTTGTATTAAAATTATTCTCTTAAATCCTAGTTCAACACATCTTCAAATTTCCTTCTTTCAGCTGCAAAATTGCTGTATCACTGATTTCCCCATGGGGATGTGCTGGCAGGACAGTTAAAAGAAAAACCAAACCACTAAATGTTCTTTTCAGATTGAATTTTGAGGGCAATAGGAACACTTCAAGCAAATTACTCTCAATTTAGAGAAAAAAACATTAATGGAACAACATCATTTGAGTAGTTTAATTATACTACCTCATGCTGAGCAAGTAACAAGACAGAACTGTTAAATTACTAATCAACTGCTTCAGCATTTTAAAAGACCTTTTCAAAGGGGCTTATTATTGAAAGCATAAAAACCTCCAGAGATGAACACACTTGGATCCTGCTATGGAGGCCTCTCTACTGTTTCCATAAGGCAATGGGAAAGTAGCTCTTTCCAAAACACTGATTTTTCTCCAGTAGCAAAAGCCAGGAATTCTCTCTCTGTGCACCTCCCTTCTTATACCCTGCAATCACTTTTTCTATACTGCTTTCTAGTCCCACAGGAACTGCCTGTTACACACTGTGATGTTAGAATATAGATCTTTGTTAAAGAGATTATTAAAGGAGTCAAATGATTCAGACAACACCAAACTAAAGCATCAATCTTTATTTATAAAGTCAATTTAAAAATAGATACGGTAAACTTAGTCAATTTTACCATCCAAAGACGGTTTTCATTGAATACATAGACACCATAAATCAAAAGTTTTATTTATCAATGTGTTTATCCAAGTAAAAGATCAATCATTACCTTGATTAGTTTTACAGACTTCTGATAGGAGTGTTTTAAAAAGATCAAATTCTCCCTACCTTGCAACATGAATATTTCAAAAATAATTACCTGTCATGTTAATTAATCATTTAATAGCTTGTGAGTTAACTGCAAGTGGCTGCATTGCTTTTGGGTTTTATGAAGGCCAAGAACAATTTGAATGGACACTTTCAGTTGTTAAATGACCAGAGACAGTTAAAGGAATAAATTTCATCAATGCCCTCAAATTTTGTGCTGGCTCTGAACATTCATTAACAGTAGTACTGTTATGTGAGGCAACTATGCAGATGTAAACGTGATGGATCTTGCAAAAAGATCAGATGCTTCTTATTGCTTTGTCAGGAGAATAGCTACAAGAGGGCTGGAGAGGCAGTTGGCAGTGCAAGACTTCATGCAATTCTCTTTAGGGGAAAGGTGAGGGAAAAGTGTGCTGAGGACATGACTCTCTGGCTGGTCAGAGGTTTGTACACCCACAGAGAGTATTTTCAAGTAAGATAACTTACAATGTCTAGTTTGGGCCAAACTCTAAAGCAGCTCATTATAAACACCCTCTCATAATCACTTAACCAGCTCCCACGATCCTCCAGATTAAGCTTTCTACCTCCTATCCTCATCTACCTAGGGCAGGATTAGGAAAACAAGACCAACCCAAAACACGACATGCACATAATCATATCAGGTCAAACTGTTTGTTATTTAAAACATTTAGTATTTAAATGCTGAACTTCTTTACTGGCTCAAGTAAGTGTAAAAACGTATGTGCACTCTTGGTATAGCTGACACATGGGCAGGAATACTAAATTCAAACAAAAAACCCTCTGGCAGCAATTTTGAACTGCTACACTCAAAGGTTTTCCTAAAAAACAAAACTAAAAAACCCAAAGTGAATTCGGTGTGCTGAAAAGATTCAGAGTTCAACTAAAAATACATTTAATTACAGTGTATGAGCTGCACACACATTAACCATGTTTAAAAAAACAATGACACTTGCCTGATGGGTAGTACATAGAAGCAACACTTCAAAGACCAGCTTCTTGCCCCAGAGGGAGAAGGCAAGAGGCAGAAAAAGAACACAGTAGCTAAGGGCACGCAGGAGATTAGCAGAGGATCAAGAGCTATTGAATTGAATTGATGTAGTGTGTAAGATTAAGTGAAAAAAGCTGAGGTGTCGAATTTCTACTGCATATAAAAAACCACAGTAAAACCAACAACTATTGCAATCGTCACGTTAAATAGTGCAATCTCAGACGTCAATAACAGGCTAGTATCTCCAAGCAAAATAATATATAAGATAAAACAAATTTTATCAGGAACTAGTAGTATTAAAGCATTATTTCCCTACAAAACTTGGTTAAAATCTACCAGGTAGACACGTGATTCAGCTATATAATGTGTACACCCAGCACCTATGATAATACGCAGTGACCCAAGACTCACAACTCCCACGTAGCTTTAAAAAATTAAATTCAAAACCCACAAAGCTCACATACAAGACACTAAAAAGCAAGTCCCCACTGGGGAATATAATCTATCCACCAGTATTTGCCTCAATACACAATTTTAAATATTTAAAGTGATCTAATACTTTATTTCCACATCTAATTCTTCTTTAATCCACTTATTAAATAATCTATTTTTCCTCTTCCTATTAAACACATTACTCATAGTTCATTCAAGTTTAGACTATTCTGGCTGATTTCATTTTTTTGGGGGGGAGGTGGGGGAGCAGGGAGGGGACAAAATCCTAACCAGGTGCTGTCAGCAATTATTCAAGACCTAGTTGGATTTTGTTACAGATTAAAGTTATTGTTAAAGTTCAAGCATTTAGGAAAAATCATTTTCAGATTACCTTGAAAGTTAAAATTGCAGTTGATACTGCAAACAGACTAGGATCTCAAGAATAACTCACCATTATGAAGCAAGTCTATTTCAACTTTTACTGAACAGTTTTAGATCCAAAAGCACAGATAATCAATTATTTATTAGAAACTTTCGGCATATTGCTTTGAAAGGAGCTCCACAATCTACTGAGTTTATTAACTCGTGCACTTTTAATCACCTTTGACTTGGTCATTCAGTACTTAATATGTAAGGCTTATGAGTAGTATAGAAATCTGGAAAAGCTGTAGTGGTTTTATGTCAGATTTCTTCAAAAGACAATTCCATGAAAGTAGTTATGAATTTGAAATTACCATGCTTTTGCATGGAAAAATATCCAGCCATTCCTGAACACGTACATTAACTGATGGATAACTGAGTTTAGTTTGTCTTTTCTATTACAAAACAAATCAAAACACAGCCAAACAAAACAAAACCTAATAATGCATCATGTCAAAACCAGAAGAAAACATTCTATTGTACTATTTTCCATAAGAGCTACAAGGAAAAATAAAAATTTATCTGGGACAATGTTATAGTCCTTCAGCTCTTCTCACATGGAAAGACTTACAGGTTTCTACAGGCTACTCATGAGAACACAGGTTTGTTATCTAGGCATACAGCTACAACTCACCCACAGAATACATGGGCTTAATAGTCTTATGCCTGCAAAGTTTATGACCACATGTACAGCCATTAAATAATGGATTCTAATGCAAAATAAAAGGGCACTAGCTTAGTTTTCCTCTTCTAGCTTTAAAATAATTAGTTTAAAATAACGTCATAAAACATGGTCAACAAATATAGTCATGTAACAATACAAAAAGTGTGTTGAGGTCAGAAGAGAGAAGAATAAAAAAGGCCTTTTTTTTTCCCCTAGCATCTACAAATGGAATGATTTCAGTTCATTATCAAAAGCCAGAATTTCATTTCTTATTGTAATACTTCATAACAAATGCAAACAACAGTTTCTAATCACTAGGTGTTTCAGTCTCTGCTGGACCTCTAATCAGTCTTCGTATTCCCCTCTTCCCTGCAGGGCCTTTTGGTTTAGCAAAACTTTGTTTGTGAGCATGTTGTTTTGGATGAACCTCTTCATAAAGAAAGTCAGCAGTTAACTCATCACCGTTATCTATTTCAATCTGGGAAAAAAACACAACATTTATCATATTCATCTTAAAGACAACATTTTAAAAATTTCAAAAATTTTGCTGAAGCTCTAAATACTGTATTAAAGCCATATGTGCAACAGCGTTCAGAATCTAGCATGAAATGTTCCCCAACTGCACTGAGCAATCCTGGATAGTTTTTCTGAGAATCCACTATACTCTTACCAGTATTAAGTGTGATTTCACTTAATTATTTTTCCTGAAATACAAGCACAACTACACAGTACATATGCCAGGAAACTTCCTCTGTCCCAAGCTTCAGCACTGTGCATATGTTAATACTAACTAGGAGTACACATTACATGTGGAAACAAGTGCTTATTTACTCATCTGTCAAGTTAACTTCCTTAATAAAAGAAAGCAGCATGCAGATCTTTCAGAACTACAATTTTCTTTCTTTATTCTCCCCTCTAAAATAAAAAATTTTCATTGTCCTCCCAACATAATCCCCGTATTTTAAGAATTGAAATGTTTCACTAAAACGTGCTTTAAACACTGATTGTAAAAGCAATGTGCATACATATTGTCTCCTGAGATAGAAGGGGAAGAGTACAAACAGCTTGTATGATTAGCTGGCTACTGCAACTCAGCAAGTATTCAAGCCAGGAAAAAGCTAAAATAAGTTTAATGATCAAAAGTGGGAATTGTTTTGGTTTTTAAAATTTAAGCACATAAACCTGAATGGAAAGAAAATACCGTTCTCAAGCCAAAGCCCACTGGTCTGAACTGAAGGAATTTAGAATTCGGGGAAATGCTTTGGCCCTGCTCTGCTGAGCATTCGACGCTTCGTGGCCTGGCAACCACAGCATTTGATGGACTTGCCAGCCACAGTATTGTTGTTACAAGTACATGCTTCAGAAATACGTCTACAGGAGTTTCAGGAGTCACATGGTGCATTTATTTCATGGCAGAAAGGAAATTTCTGAGAAATACTTAGATATAAAAACACGTAGTGATAAACTACTTAAATTCATGTTACCTCAGTAAAAACGGTTAGAATTAACTCTGTTATTTTTTAGGTGGGCATAATCCCCACAGAAACCAATCCTAAAGTTCTTCGAAATTTACAGCACAAGTGTTAAGAATGGAACCCCTGGTCACATATTCCACAAATGGACCATTCCTATAGTCTCTGCTCTGGAGGTGAAAAGCAACTTATTGCATAGTATTAATTTATACAAGGTGAAAAGATCAGCTTACTTACAAATCCTTGTTTGCCCCATCAAGGACTCCTAAGATAGTTTTAAGTTCCAGAACTGCATCTTGAAATTGTTTTGAAAATCCTTAAATAACTTTGGCTTTAAAGGAATTTAGTGTTCAATAATAGCAATGTGTTGTGGTCCAAAATATGACAGGCCTTTTAGTAAGAAATCATGTTAGTTCTAAATAGTCCTTCAGAGTACTCTCAAACACTCCCTTGATGTGCAAGGATATGTTTGTTAAAGCTATGAAAGTGTAGAAATCATGAACAAGAGAAAAGCTTCCATGACTGACCTTTGTATCTGGAGCTTTATCAACAAGTATTTCTTGTTTGGGACAAACTTTAATAGTTAGATACCACTTTTAATTGTTTAGGGAAGATGGTGGCAGAGACAGTTACAGTTAGATATTAAGAAGGGAAAAAAGTGATGGAGAAAAAAAAATGTATACTCAGTGTACTTACCTTTCTAATTATCTGCATCCACAACTGCCTTTCTACAATTTCTAACAGTGGACTTTTGCAACTAGAGTAGAGCATTCGTTCTCGTATACTACAGGTATACCCTGGCATAGAGTAGATGAAAACTGCAGAAAAACACAAATCAGACCATAAATACACTCCAACAAAACCTGTACCATAAAATCATTTACAGCAGAGAGGCATTGCAAATCAACTATGCAGTCTGAAAGGGAAAAATGTAACACCATTCTGGATCTTTTTTGTTCCAGCACGTGTTTCATTTCAAATGGGGGATGAGAGAATGGCCAGTATCTTTGTGTTTTCACATGACAACCAATTTATGGGTGTTCATAATCAAAACAGATAGCTCACTGCTTTTTAAACATTCAAAACTCGTCAGAATTCAGTTTCACAATGAAATTACTCTGAAATTTATGCTCATGCTGATTGACAGATTACTTTTGTGACACATCTTTCTCTCTGCCTCAAAATTACTAAAGTACTTGAGACACACCAATGAAATTTCGTACTGGGAGCTTTTCTCATACCTATGGATTCCAAATAGTCTCCTTCATGGGCATGCTTATACAGGAAAAAGTGGTAACGCGCAGCATCCTTTGGAATTCTTTTTGGCAAGTCCTTAAGTTCAGTATGAAGTGTGTTGGCCAAAATAATAGTTTCATTTTTCATATCAATTTGCTGTTAACAAAGCAAACCTCAGTATAGTTAATACACAGAAAGCAAACCAGAGAATGTGACAGGATGGAAAAAAAAAATTAATCTAATACATAATGGTAATTTATCAGTGTAGGTCATCAATGCACACTGCTTAATATGTGGGTAATCTATTTTATACTCACTATTAAAAAACAGTTAAAGTATTTTATACTTGCCAGTTGTACATAATTGAGTTTCTTATTTTTCAGTTTCTCCAAAGCCTGAATAGCTTCTTTGGCAATGGGGAATGCTACTCCTTGCAGTGTTTGATGCTTGGTATCTACACCAACGTCCGTCTGTACCTGGAACACAAGTCAATTCATACAATAACTGACAATGCATTGCGTATGGTTACACAGAGTTAGCAGAAGCTATTCTGAGAATAAATTACTCTAAATCACCATCTCCATATATAACAGATTTGCATTTTCTAATTTACAGGTCATGGTTGCTTGCTAACCTGAAAACAGTTTCATACCTCTGAAACAGGTAGCTTTGCAGAGCCAACAGAATCATCAGAGGGAAAACTGGCTCAAGTGTCAGTGAAGAAGCTCTAAGTTAAATTCTGGTATAAAGATACAGTAAGCCAAGAGGAAGTAGCCTGATTTTCATATACTGTGTTATACTTTTGAACTGACAATATTGCCTATAAACTTTGTCGTATGTTGAAAAATTTTAGATCAAAACATACGAATGTCATTTCTAGGGAGTCAAAGTTTTCAGAGGAAGAGAGAAATTATATCTTACAAGACGAACTGATCTTGAAGGAAAAGGAGAAGCAACTTCCACCCCTCATGCTTCAACACCCTCCCCCCAGAAGCCTATACCAAAAAGAAAGCAAACTAACCAACCAAACAAAATCTTAATTTTTGACTTCTAGAACACCTAACACAACGCAAAAAAAAACAGGGTAACTGCAGTCCAGTTGTTAGTCACAAATTATTTGAGAGGAGATAAATGAACAGTTCTTTAAAGCCATTTTTCAAGAATCTGTGTTTATCTTAACATTTGTGCAGTTTCTCTCAAAATAAGCACTGACCTTCAGTTTTCCCCAAGTCTGAACTTACTGTTTAAGTACCTTTTGAATATATTGACTTCCTTCTGTAATTTCACAAATACATTTAACATTGGTGATGAAGCAGCAGAAGTCAGAAAAGCATACAAAATTGAAAGTGTGGGTCTTAGATCTACCAAATAGGTGGTGTTCAGCTTTAATTAAAGAGAGATGCTAATGATATAGGAAAAAAACTGATATAAAAATAAAAGACAGATACTTGGGGCAACAATAAATTATACTCCACATTTTAAGGAACAGCTTGTCAGCAACAATGAAAGAGAAGAAAGCAGGTGGAGGAGCTTACTTGTCTATGAACATATGAACACTGGTAAATTTATGAAGAAGGTTATATAAAAAAATTTGCAAAGTATATCTGAATAAAAGCCTGATTAATAAATATAAAATAGACATCACAAAAATAATTACCCATGATAAAACACCATGCTATATAAAACCATATTAAAATACAAGTAGAAAAACCCCCAAACAAAAATGAACTGTAAAGTGTGGGGACAGGCAAAGGGACAAGAGTAACCCAGCATAACTCCAAATTTATGGAAATGTACACAGTCTACTTGTCCATACTGCAATGTATTTCAGATCATTAAAGCAAAACAGAAACACCTAAGTAACTTCAAAATATTTAAATTCACACCATAAGATTTGTTAGTGATGGCTTCTGAGTGGTGGATAAAACAGCAGATGAAATTTCCTGTGAATAAATGTAAAGTAACATACGCAGGAGGGAAAAATAAACAAACTTCTCTCCTGCATGTATGATGATGGGCTTGAGCTAGCTACTACTATTGAGGAGCAAGACCTTGCAGATCACACTGAGTATCTCTAAAATATAAGCCCAGTAGCCAATCTTGGCAAAAAGACCCCAAACAAAACCAAACAAAACCCAACGCACTCCACCCACAAATGAAATGTTATCAATCGTCAGAAGAAGAGAACGGAACACATCATTACGCACTGTAGATATCAGTAACATGACTGCATCTTGAATACTACATGCAATTCTGGCTTCCCCATCCCTCCATTTCATAAATTATATAGAACTGGAAAAATTGCAGAGAAAAGCAAAAGGATCAGAAGTATGAAGTGCCTTCTTTAGGAGGAAGAATTACCTAGATTGGGATTCTTCAGCACAGAAGAGAGAACTGATAGAGAATACAACAGAGGTCCATGGATACAGAATCATAGAATGGTTTGGCTTGGAAGGGATCTTTAAAGGTCATCTAGTCCAAATCCCCAGCAACGAGCAGGGACATCTTCAACTAGATCAGGTTGCTCGGAGCCCCGTCCAGCCTGACCTTGAATTTTTCCAGGAATGGGGCATCTACCACCTCCTCTGGGCAACCTGTTCTGGTGTTTCACCACCCTTATGGTAAAAGAATTCTTCCTTGTATCTAGTCTAAATCTACTCTCTCTTAGTTTAAAACCATTACCCCTTGTCCTACTCATCAAGCCCTACTAAAAAGTCTGTCCCCGTCTTTCTTACAAGCCCCCTTTAGGTATGGAAAGGCCACAATAAGTCCTTCCCAGAGCCTTCTCTTCTCCAGACTGACCATCCCCAACTCATCAGCCTTTCATCACAGGAGAGGTGTTCCATCCATCTGATTGTTTTTGTGGCCCTCCTCTGGACCCGCTCCAAGAGGTCCATGTGTTTGCTGCACTGAGGGCTCCAGAGCTGGACACAGCACTGCAGGTGGGGCCTCACCAGAGCGGAGTAGAGGGGCAGCATCACCTCCCTCAACCTGCTGACCATGCTGCTTTTGATGCAGCCCAGGATATGGTTGGCCTTCTGGTATATGGTTGGCTTTATCAAAGGGAGGGGGAAACTGAGGTTTGACTTAATGACTTTTCTCTGCCTTCCCCATACAATCTGTAGGGATATAAGAATAAACTAGTAGGTAGCAGGCAGTTGTGTCTTTTCATAGTACTTTGTCAAGCTGTGTAATACACTGCCATAGGATCTGTGGCCAACAAAAACTTTATGTAGATTTAGAAAAACGAGAAGAATAGGTGATGGATGAAAATCCCATTAAGTGCACTCATACAGTAAGACATCATCTCTTGCTCAGAAAGATCCCTGCCTGCAAATGCTGAAACAACAGAAGAGTATTCAAGGGAATTATTGTGGCGTTCTTGCCCTGCTCTTACATTCTTCCAAGATTTCTGCTGTTGTTCACTGAGGAACTTGACAGCAGACTAGGTAATCCTTTGATCTAACCCAGTAAAATATTTCTTAGTGTAATTATAAAAGAATATAAATACAGAAAACTCAAATTATAGATTTTTTTTTTTTTAATCAGAAAGCTTTTAGTTTTCTGAGTCTAATTACAGGCTTCATAATGGTGGAAACAATAAAGGGAGAAATGGCGTAAGTTAATGCATTACAAGATGCTTCAAACAAAGCCAAAATGGCAGCAATCTGCAGTTTATGTATCTCTGAAAAGCACAACTATTGATGCTGAAGTTTTGTAACAGCACATGAAGTTTTAGTCTGCATGAATCAGCTGCTAAACACGATGTATGTAGTGCAGAAAAGATAATACTAATGCCAGAAGTGGTCACTGATACCGTAGAAGATTTATATTCACTAGTGGGGGGCTTTTTAAAGCTATTTAAGTAAAATGCAGTGTTTTATAATGATGAATGCATTTCTACATTGGATTAATCAAAATTAGGCATGGAAAACAAGAAAGCACTGAAAAAAAAAAGTTAATAAAAGTTACAGCAAAAGCACAGTAGAGTGAAAACATAAGAGAAGATACAGATCTGCATTTAACACAACAGCTTGCTGGTATCCAGCTGTAAAAACAAACTGTATTTCAAACACACGTTACCATGGCTGTAAACACAAGCCTGAAGAACTCATAAGATCAGCACATGACCTATTGTAATACATGTCTCAACACAAATAGTGATCAAGTGAAAGAAAAATGTGAGAAAAGAATCCTCTGAAACTTTTCAGTCACTACCTAGCTGTGAATCATCAAATTATTTGGTTAAAGGCACCTGTTAGAGATTTTTCTGTAAAGTGTTTGTAGCAAAAGCAAATCAGTTTCCTAAAAGGACTAGCTACTTGCTTTGGATTTCTATTGTATTTTTACTGGAATTCGATTCACTTCCTCTCAGTCTTGAAGACAAATGCACTGCTGCTGGAAGCTAAGGAAGTTTCCTCTAGGAATAAGGCTGCTGAAATACTCCTGGCAATCATTCAGTGCAACAGTCACTATTTTGTGTTTTCTCTGTAATTTCTGCCACCATGGGAAATGTACGTGGGTAACCACAGAATGGTTGAGGTTGGAAGGCACCTCCGGAGATCATCTTGTTTGACCTCCCTGCTCAACCAGTACCACCTAGAGCCCGTTGCCCAGCTCTCTCTGGAGTTGTTGAGTATTGGCTTTTGAGTGCCTCCAGGATGGAGACTCCACAACCCCTCTCAGCAACCTGTGCCAGTGCTCAGTCACCCTTCATAATGAAGCACATCCAGTGGTATTAAAAGCATGTTAATGGCCAAAGTTGCAACAATTAAGCCCTGCGGTTGCAAAGCCTCTGACTCTGACACTAGGCCTTGTAAGCTCAGCAATACCATGCCACTCCAAGTCCAGCCACCATCATCCTGCAGTCGCTGAGAAATGCATTTATATACTTGTCCATTCAAACTTTCTGAGACTTACAGTTTTCTGTTCTGCCCTTTTTTTACTGTAGAAAGACTTTTTCCCTACAATATGTTTGGAACTCTGTACCCAGTTTCCCACCCATGCTCAAAGACTTTATAGGTACCTCATTAATCTTAATTTGTCGAAGTTCCTCTTCTGCAGCAGTCAGCGGTGCAGGGGAGGACTGTGATATCAAATATTTTTTATAGCCATTCAGTGAAACATCATCCTGAAAGAACAATATCAATATTGATCATTTTTTGATAATAAAAGTTTTCTTCAAAGATGTTCTATGCAGCATAAAAAGAGCAGCTACCTCCCATACAGTTAGGGTAATTTTATTTGAACAGATTACAAGTGTAGGTGCATTTGCAAATTCAACTCACCTTCCTTTACAGCAGGGTCCACTAGGCTGGTCTTGTGCCCAACTGTACCATGGGCAGCATTTCCACAATCAGTCCCCAATTATCTTGCTAATTCAAAAATGAACATTAATGAAGACTGTGTATATGAAGTTATTCAGCCTTCTTGGACAAAATCTCACAGAATTACCACAATTCTAATAAATAATAACAAAAAAAAAATCTGTTTTCTTATAAAATTTGCATGCTCAGACTGGAAGCTTATTAGTAGCTTTCTGCCTAAAAAATGGGAGACAGAAATACTACCTTAGAACAGAGAGTAAGCACATGATACTGCAAATAGTTCAGGATGAAACATCACAGAAGTGAGGAATTCTGCTAACCACTTTGGGGAATTCATTAATAATGTCTGTTGTATCCCCCTCCAAAAAGGTTGATACCAGAGGCAAACACTATTGTGTTTTTATTATTAAGGTGGTCACTCAGAAAAGGGCAGGACTTTATGCAATCATATGAACGTGACTATGCTCAAGTTCTGAGGAGAAAGAGAAAGCTCCTTCTTAGCTCTTCCCTTTCTGAAAGAGACAGACCTTCTCAAATACAATTTCCAGTGCCAATATTCCATTATACCTTGCTACAGGAGCCCAGAGGTTTCAAGGTTAATGCATGTGAAATAGCAGGTGGGACCATAACCAGGTTCCACCAGGGTAACAGAGTTGGTTGCAGCTAAGCCATCCTTGTGTCTAACAAAATGAAGATAGCAACCCACTGGATGTTGACAATCAAGATTCTCAGTGAGGTTTGTGACTTGACTACCTTGAAGAAGCTGTGATTTTCACACAGATGAACATTAGAGGCCAGCTGCCATTAAGAAGTTTATAAAGACACTGAAACCAACAATTTAGAGATATATTAAACTATAACATAATGAACTTGGAAAAAGTGAGTTACATTGACTTCATCCTCTAAGTGCTCCAAGCACATTCTGAAATAACAGTAATAGACAAATGCAATGCTCCTTTCCTACAACTGAGATGGAAGCTCAGACTTGAGGCTCTGAGTTGTAGGGCTAGATGCAATTCTACATATTACATAGACTGCTAATGGTTTAGTGCAAGTAGAGTTGAGAGATTAGTTGATTGAATGGGAAAAAAAAAAAACAAAAAAACACCACGACCTCTACCAGTAAACCATCTTAGCAACTCAGTTATCTACTTCTATATAATACAGCCTCTCCAGAGAGGTTTATTAGTGTGTTTGTTAGGTTAATGAAGCCTCCATCGCAGATCAATGCTGAGTATAACAACTTAACTAATCGGTGAACAGCAGAACATCCTTATGGACTTGTGTGTCCTTCACAACAGTCCACGTCTCTTCCACAGCTTTTTCCCCACTACAACATCCTCTGTTCTTCCCCAGATAGTCAACTCCTTCCCTTCCTTCAGCACAAGTTCCCCATGTCAATAGTGGTGGTGCTTTAGTTCATCATATACACAAATATGAACCAATTAATAGGCCAAACAATTGTGTTTACAATGGGACTGAAAGTTAGTGTTACAGTTTTTAGAGCATTCACACACAAGCAGTGATATTAAGGGGTGCTCCTATTATTCTTAGCAGTTGAAGCAAGGACTTCTTGGCCTGAAGTCGTTAAATATACTTAGCTCCTTGTTCAAATGAGAGCAATTACATTTTAACACTGGAATAATACACATAGCTTCTAACTCTTTTTTCCTTAATCAAAAAAGGGGAGAAACACCACAAATTCATACCAGTAACATCAGCTACTGTATTTAATATTTAAAGTCAGTGTGGGCTGACTTTACAAAGAAAAACATACCTGTACCGTTCCAAATACTTCATCCTTAATATGACCACCTCCAAATTCTTTCTTAAGTGTTGCGCGGGTTGCTGCATACAACATTTTTTGACGAACCTAGTATATAATAAAACAGTGTTGTTTTGGTTCTATTTTTTTTTTCCTTTGGTGTACACAGAGAATCTAGCATGTTGGTGTACCAACTCCGATAACAAACACCTTTCTTGAACAAATATTCAAGTGTTAAGACTGCATTATGAAGTTGTAACTCCTGATTAACAATAAATTCCACAGAATGAGCTCTGGATCACAATACTAACATGCTATTAAATTCTCAAGGACATGATACTATGCACTATTATTAAAGTAAGTTCAAAACTAAATTGCAGCTTTAGTGAGAGTATTAGCATTTTTTTTTAAGGCGGGAAAAAAAAAGTCAAAATAATCTTTACTAATTTTAAATGGGAAAACACACAATTGTTTAGATCTTTTGTCACTGGTCTGGGTACTAATGACTAATGGATACAACAGACAAAGAGCAGACTGCAAATGACTCATCGTTATTTCTGATTTGATAGTGTCTCCAGATAGTTTTGGTTCAACTACAGAGTAGAAAAATGAAATTTTCTGGGGGTTGAAGATCTAATGATGTTTGCTCCCTATCAACTTGTGTCTAACACAGTCACTCATTCCTCTCTCAACAGTCCCATCTTGCCATCTTATTTCACCATCATGTCATCCTCACCACAATACCTCAACCTTTTCCACCTAATCTCTTCTATGAACTCAATTCCTATTGTCTTATTATCTCCTGTTAGTGAAAGCAGTAGAAATATTGGAATCGTTTTACTTTGTCTTCCCTCATCTCACATTCCCAGAAACACAGCATCCTAGTTTCTCCTGAAATCCTTAACTCTAAATTCAGTTCCCTCCCATGTGCTTTAAGTACTAAGAAATAGTATATTCTGTAGCAGATCACAGATCCTTGAGTGCCAGCTGGGCAGCCAGCAGGCCAAATAGAATAAACAGCTTGAGCTCACACTATAATCCTTCTCTCTAGAACACCCATTGAGATTTCTGTCCTGTATCCTTCCATGAATTTTCATGAAACACTGACAGAACAACAGACAAACAAACAGAGCAAAAACACTGCCTTGTCTCCTCCAGTCAGGCTAGAAATTAATTGCATCAGCCGCACTCCATCTAGACCCAATGGATATTGTTCCTCTATCAACTTCAAGAAAGATGTTTTTCCAGTTTTCTTGGGGGAAACTGAGGGGAATGTGGGGAAATGCTTAATTCCTCAAATCCTCTTCCTTCATATCTAGGATTCAGATCAAACGGGACTGTTGAAAAATCATTAATAACATGAAGCCTCTGATGACTGTTACTTACAGGAGAGTGATCAGGTGACCATGCTATGAAGATCCACTCATATCCTTGAGCATTCTGAGAATCTAATCTGTATAATATATAGCATGGTTGCTTGTCTTCAAGAAGGGGAAGGACAAAGGAATCATAATCCTTTTCCCATGATCCAACTGGCTGCCTAGAGGATCCCACAACAAGCTGCTCTATAACCAATAACCAAAGCTACAAGTTAGCAACAATACAGTTAATACTGGTTTTCAAAATTAGCAATTACAATAAACAGTTAATCAGACACTTCACTTTTTGTAATTATCTCCACAAGAATGGAAGTCAAGAACAGTCAATGTGAAAGCAGGTGAATTCCTACAAAACACTGTGTATGTTCAAGCCCTAACTTACTTTAACCCAAATACAAACAGTTGAGAAGTAATGTGCTCGTTGTCATCGAGCTGTTTGATCTGAAGGGATAAGACTGATGTTGGTGTTTTAAGCATAAAGTACACAGAAGGGAAATGAAAACTGTCTTCTGCCAGTTAGTTTATTTTTAAATTGGAATACTTAAGTAGTAATATGATGAGAGTAAGCTTTTAAATTTCAGAATTAGAATTACTGATGTTCTTGCTATAACATATTACTGTTTGTACTCATCATAAGGAGTCAATAACTCACTTATGCAGTGAAAAGAGTTTGGAATGAATATGCTTGCACTAATCACTTTAACTTGACTGTGTAAGTAGGTAAACCTCTTTCTAATACAGCTTCATAACTATGGTCTCTTCAAATGACTGAAGTTGTTTATTATGTATAATTGGCTTAAGTCTGTATAGAATACTTCAGATGAGATTCAATATGTGAACAGCTGTAGCAACAACATTTTTCTCTTATTTATGAATCACATCTCAGCTTCCAAAGGCAAGTATTACTATAATGTCTTTCAGATCAGTTATCAACTTCCCAATAAACACTAGCCTGCACAATCTAAACAGAAATACCTTGTTTAAATGAGATCCTACAACAGTCTAAGGACCATCATAGTAGCTAGCATACAAAATATCTTTTGGGAGTCTAGGACCTTCTAAAACTTCAGACAGAAGTACAAAAATATACAAATGCCTCTACAGCAAAACTTTCAGAGCAAGGCACTCTCCCACAGTAATGCACAGAACATGAACAGCTCAGGGAGAGAGTGTTTGGTCCTGCTCTGAATTAGACGCAAAGTCGCTGAGGTGGTACACCTAGACCAGAGTATTCAGAATGTACTTCCCCATTCTGAACTCTAGATGGCTTTATGCTCACTTGGGCTTAAAATAGAAAAATACAGACGAACTCTATTGCCCAGCAGCAAACCTCTTCTCTTATTAACTTAGATTAGCAGAACTCAATTTGACTATTATCTGTTGACTAATGGCAGCTGCTGGAGGCTCCTGCAGACAGATGAGGCAACTGTCTCTTCCAGTATTATGGGAGATTTAGATGTTTCTTTCTGAACTGTGGAAAATAGTATAAAAGACTGGCTTCTGCTTCTACATAGAGACAAAATGCACATATATATATGTATATACGTGTATACACACACAAACACATACACACGAATATTTCTAGGTTTTATTTATTATTTAAAAAGTAGCACACACAGAAAAGCATTTGTTGCACCTTGCCTAATGGAAAAAAAAAAAAAAAAAACAAAAACTTTCAATGGTATGCCAGCATTTGTTACCTTGTGCTAGTGAGACTTTACCACAGTGACTTGCCTATAATTTTATTATTGTCAGTTCTTTAAGGAAAGCCATATTAGAATGTGAAACGACTCCTAAGAAAACCATACACAGAGAAAGTAACAACAGGTTATTTACCTAACAATAAAGGAAGTATGTATATGCATACTTGAAAAGATGGACTAAACCATGAAGTGTCTTATATGGTCAACCAACATAGCTATCAAAAAAAAAAAAAAGTAATTATGCATTTTATCTTGCAATGTTTGCAGTCTTGACCACTCGCCAAGAAGTTCAAAGATCAAATTCAAGTTCTGCAAGAAATTATGTAATTTTATATATATATATACACATGAGATTTAAGAAACAGTTTTAGCTTTGAAAAATTATATGAAGTTACAGATTTTTAAAGATATTTTCTATGTAGCCAGATTACAGTTTAAACATCTGCTTTAATAGGACTTTCTACATGCAGCTGATCCCAGTATAAAAGGCAGAAAACATTTATACTTCATGTAAAGTGACTAGCTGCTGTGTAAGAATCTGTCTAATGAAAGTAACCAAAGTGCCAAAACACTACACAGGTATGGAATTTTTTTTTCCTCTACTCTTTCTTTAGTAAGAAGATAAGAGTAAGCTCATTATATCATTCTTATGAAATACATAGCAGTACTTGGTAAAATATGAAATTACATTTGGAAGAAAAATTCAAATGCAAAAATACAGTAGCATCATACTGAAAAACTTAGCATCACCAAAACTTAAACCGTGCCTTCTGTAAATGGAAGACCTTAGTAACATTAAGCGCTGCAGAGTTTGGGGTTTTAAACAATTCATATAGGTCACTAAAACAACTAGGAAAATATCTAAAAGAATCAGAGAAAAGATTAAAATTTGACTAACCATTGTCAATGACTATTTTTAAAAGCCTGTATTGTCCATTTCTGGCTCCAACAAAGGTGTCTTTAACACTTTCACTAGCTGAAAAAGAAAAAAAAAAGTAACCAAATTAACACATTTCACTTCCCTAAGACAAAGAATATTCACAAAGGCTAGAACAACAGTGGAAAAGCGTACAACTGGCCCTTCACTACAAAGTTGGACTGAAAAAGGAACATGGGAGCCATGTTCTCTCTGTTCTGCATACCGTTCCAGCCACCAGCACACCACAAAAAGATGACAGGCAACAGTAACATTATAAAACAGTCTTGCTTGCTAGCATACCGTAGGATTTTCAGTATTGTGAAAATTAAAAGTGACATCACATCATCACTCTCAGGTTTCAGAGTTAACACAGCAACACAATAAAAATATGACACATCTCAAATTACAATAGCTTCATGAAGTCTGCAGGCTTAGTACAAACTTTCAGACAGAAACTTTACGCTTGCCAGGAAAATGTTAGAGCTTGTCTGGCAAAAGTGCCGGTCTTTCCTGAGGACTCCTTTCTGAAGAGTACCATGAAGGCTGCCACTCATTGCTCATTTTTCTTATTACCTTATCTCCTTATACGTATCTTGATGATGTTGTTCTAACCCTGACCTATCACAATAGGGTAGCTTTATAATGAACTTACAAAGTAACTGAAAATATTTTAAAATGTGTAATTCACATTAACACTACACCACAAACATGACAGACAGTTCCCTAAGGACACTGAAGATCTATGCTTGAGTTATGTGAAGATCATTCTCACCTCAATTCCTCTGCTAAATAAACTGAGCACAAATCAGTTTAATTATACCATAGACAGGAGGCTGTACAGCATTCATTGAAGAACATTTATTACAAGCTAGTCCTTTATGTAATCCCACAGCACAGCACCAGCAAAACAAACATCAAACCAGGAAACAAATAAAATGGATTATTTATAGTCAGGTTGAGGCCAACTGAACAGATGGTCAGATGGTATCCAGCAACATTACTGCCCACACTCAAAACACTTTAAATTTATGCCCATCTAAGTGATGCCCAGGCCCATTCTGAAATTCCAAAATGGCATGGAAGGGAAAGGGGATTTTAAACTGAACTGCATCAGGATACCAGTCCAACTCCAGCTTCATACCAATTAGCATCTTCCCACTAACCAGTGCAGACCCTCACTGTAATTTGCTGCCAGTTTTTCTGTGTTTGCCAGTCCTCACCATTCCATTCACCACGCAAACGTTGCACCACTTTCTAGACCTTTCGGTTCCCCCAGGACTTTTTTTGTCCTCTTGTCTATTATCTTTTTGTTCTTTATTCTCTCATTTCCACCCTAGACACCAAAACAAGACCAAAATACAGCAGTCCCTGCACCAATACCAGAACCGTGACAGCTCCTATAGTAACATTTTGAGAGACCATCTCACTATCAAGTGATCTATGCTTTTTTTTTTTCTCACAAAGCTTTTAAAATTCACAAGTGACATGATTTTCTGCTTAAACTTTCTGCATAGCAGAGACCTACAGAATTAAAATGCGAGTTTATTTCACAAATATCCTACAGGGAATATTATTTTTAAACTATTTAGAAGACTGTGAACATATTCTACTGTATTTTCCCACAACATAATGCATTCTGCAACTTCCTATGCCATTTATCTGCACTGGCCTGTTTGAAAGTCCAGTCCTTTTAGGAACTGCCTGGTACACATCACTGTCCCCATGACTTCATTTCTGTTTCCAGAAAAGAGCAGCTCATTCTGCCAAATCTTGCAATTGTTTATGAGTGACAGTAGCCTGCTTGTAGCTAAAGCCAACAACGGCACAAGTGCTATTCCTCTTCCAAACTGCAGAAGCAGATGCTTTGTGGCAAACAGGACTCCTGATTAGTGCCTGCTGAGGCATGACCCGTGCAGGAATGCTGCCGAGTTCTCTCCAGCTCTCCTCAGAGGACAAAAGATTCTCAAGGACATGATGGAGAGCAGCAGGAGAGGTTTAGCAGTTCTTCTTGCTTGTGGTAAGCGACAGGATATTCTACTGCTACTCCCTCCAGCATTGCCAGGGGAGAGAACAAGGGAATGAAGATTCACTACAGCAGTTTTCCCCAGCCTGGGAAAAAAGCTATCGCAGCTGCACCTCTGGTCTGATAAAGGTTGAAGAACTTAAAACAAGAAGGATCAGAAAAGAGCAAAGATTGGCATGCAGGAGAAGGAGAAGAGAGGCAAAGGGTGCAGCTCATACGCAGCCAACAAAAAAAGGGAACAGAAGAGCAGTTAAGAGCTGCCGTGGCTGGGACAAAAGTCACCTTCAACAATAAATATGGGAGAGTAGACAAAGTACACGATACTAGTCACCAAACAAGCAGACTGCAGGAATCGAGACAGTAAAACCCGACGCCCGCATAATCCTGCGGCATAATCCCTGTTTAGCAATTCTGTGATTTGGGGGCACCCGGTAGTACCGAGAAACAATACGCTGTCTTCTTCTAATTGCTCCTCGCACCCTCCAAGACCTGGAAACACGGCGGGGGGGAGGTCCCCCCACAATTTTCCCCTTTGTGGCCCTCAGTGCCAGGCTTTTTAGCGGGCTTCCCTACGACGGGGCTCCCGGTTCTCCCCGGGGCTCCCGCTCCAGCGGACCCGGCAGCGACCCCCGGCAGTTCTCGTACTGTCCCGCCCATCCCAGACCCGCTGCGGCGACCCCCGAACGGGGCGATGGGCTTCCCCAAAAGCCGGGAGGGGCCCGAGGAGCCCCCACAGCCCCGCGTGCCGGCCCCCGCCCCGCCGCTGCAGGTCAACCTGCGCTCAGGGAAGTTACCTGAGCCAAGGGGCGGGGGGGGGGGGCACACGTCCTCGCCATTTCTGGCTTTCGGCAATGAATATTTTTCTCAGGTGGGCTCCCTGCCGCTCTGAGGCGGACAGGCGCAGTTGGCCGTGCGGATAAACCCTCCGAGTTTTCGCCCGACCGGGGATGAAGCTCGGGCTTCGACCCAAAGGAGCAGCGGCCGCCCGGGACCGAAGCCCGCAGCGGTTTCCCCGTCCCCTCCCCGCCAACCCGCGGCGGAAAGCACGGGCTCCTCCAGCTGCGAACAAAGGAGAGGAAAAAAACCCGCCAGGAACGGCCCGTTAAACGGCCACAACGGCCGCTGCGCCCCGACCCTCGAGGAAAAGCGCTCCGCCCGCTTCCCGCTCGGCTGGAGGCGGAGGGGGGGGGGTGTTAAGAAGAGAGGAGAGCAAGGGGACCCCGCGGCGCGGAGGTGGCGGTGAGCGCTCGCCGGGGAGAGCCGCGCGGGTACCTTGGATACCGGTCTGGTGGGACATGTCGCACCGCCGCGCCCGGGACAGCGCAGTGCGCGCCGCCGCCGCCGCCTCCCGGCCCGGCCCGGCCCGGCCGCGCACACGTGACGCACCGCCGCCACTCAGCGGCCGGGAGGGAGCGCGGCGCCTTCCGGGCCCCGCCGGCGCGGGCCGGCTCCGGGGGCACCGGCCGCACGCGCTGCTGCCCCCCTACGGCGGAGCTCCCCGCCCCGGTGCCGCCGAGCGGCTTCCACCGGGTGCTTTAAAACGGGGACGGGGCGGAGCGCCGTCTCCCTCCTGCCCTGGCCTGACTGTCGCCCCCGGCACCTGCCGCCCTCACAGCGTGACAGCCGGCCCTGAGCCCGCCGTCACCCTCCCTGGCGGAAAGGGACGAGTGCCCCGCAGGGTTGCTTGTTGGCCGATGTACTGAAAAATAACGGAGGTGGATTTAGTTGATCTCTAGGTGTCTGCCTAGGAGACTTCCCGCTCTTGCTTGGGGCGGGAGGGAAGGAGCCAGAAGGTGGGACACCTGGCTGATTGTGCGTGCCATGAATTTTTCATTAAACGGTCATCTGATAAAGAGCCCAGAAATCACGGGGCAGAGTCCAGAACCACGGCTCTTTCAGCTCAAGCCCTTGCCCCTGTGAAGGCAGTCTTTCTCTGTTAATTTTACATCATTTGCTACTCGGTGGCACTGCATCAACAGAAATAGCGCAGATTTCTTTTCCTGATGGTTAAGACGCTGGTCTGCGTTGGCAACTCATCGATCCAGGCAGAGAAAGGGTGTACCTGCTTCTTGGTGAGTGGCCTATCCACACAGCCAGATGCTTTTACACCTTTCCAGCCTGTGTTGATAAAGTTTCCCTAAACGTTTTCTTTTGAAGTTCCAAGTGAAAGAGAGTCCTGCGTCATGAAATTAAGCATGCTCAGAGAGTAGGTTTGCTTTTGCTAGCTGTCTTTCACAGGCACATCTGCCTATGGGTTGAGAAGCACTGTCCTCCAGCAACAAAAAAATGGCTACTATCTCTTCTTTAAAAATACTAATGTGTCCTGTAGTCTGCGTTGTTAATCACTGCTGTGGTCTGGATTAGACCCCACGGGTGAAATGTGAAGGCAACTGTAGATGGAACAGGGCTGTGGGCACTTAATGTAACGTCCTGATGCTGACGATTCCTTCAGATTCCTGGGAATTAGCAGGGGGTTTATGGGTCACTCACTATACAACCTGAGAACATAAGACATGCTGTAACAGGACGTACCATATAACTAGCCTAGTGGACCAGGCAAGAATAGAAGAGCATAGTAATACTTCCCTGGCTCACCTTCCCAGCCTCCAGAGCACTGCAGCTCTGGAGTTTTTGAAGTCAGCTGTGTTGATAGCTGTGGGTGCCTGTGCTTTGTCAGATCCCTAGTTTAAAGAGGTGAGGGATTTAGTGTCCTATTTGGGAAATGGCACTGTAACTGTAGTATGTGAGCTGTGCTGTGTAATGCCAGTCCAGCAAATATTAATTCACTATGGAGACACGTCACCAGCAAGTGATCTGGGACTAACTGCAAGGACTGCAGCAGCCCAGGAAATGGAGAAGCTGCAGTTTATCTTTCTTCTAGCAAGGAGGCTAAAAGGTACAGAGGAAAGACTTCATAAGAAACCAAGAAATGAGAGACGGGAGGTGCCTCCCAGGTACCCAGAGGTGAGCTTTAATACCTCAACTATAAGCATCCAGAAGCACATAAATCATAAAAAGAATAAATCAACTTTTGGAGAAGAGCTTTTCCAAGAGGAAAGGAGTACTAGAGATCCAGCCAGAGTGGCAACCAAAGATGTGGTGCTATGACAATGACTTTAAATCATTTGAGCCTAAACCTGCCACAGGTCCTGTGTTCTTGGTTTTTCCTCTGTGTTGGTGTTAGCGTTTGTAAATGATGGATTTGCCTGAAAATTTACAAGGGAAAAGGAAGTTTTCCTTGGCAGACAGATGTCCTGAAAAGACACATCAGTTCCTTGATCCAGTTAGTCATGTGCCCCCAGGAACCCTATTATTGGCACAATGTGGTATCAAGGATTTTGTAACTAAGACTATGGAGCTGTGCTTTCAATGGAAATCCATGCTTCAACATAACAGAGTGGTATGATACTATAACATCTGTCACCATATTGAGACCACCTTGACTGAAGTCACATCACATCAATTCCCACCAATCTGTCAGAGGGCTCTAAAGTACAGAAGTGGGATCTTAACATCTGCGTCATATGAAACAAGGCTGGTACACATTGGCATTTCATAGCACCTTTTTGGCAAAAAATCAAACTGAAAGTCTAAAGTATTTTTTTTTTTAAATGTCAATATCACAGATATTTTCCTATATTACAGTGTTTGATGTTTGTCAAAGAGATGTTGCACAGAAACTAGCACAAGCAAGGATTTTATGTCTATCGAAGGTGCCTAAACTTCTGAATTTTAGTGTGCTTCAGAGTCTTACTAAAATGTTTTTGATTATTAAACTCATATTCAAATCATAAGGATAAGAATAGGGAGGTTTATTTGTTACCATATGCTTTAAGAAACTTTTTTTCTTTTTATTAGCTATATTTTCTTCCCTCTTATTATTTTTTTTCCAGTATACATTAGGTTTTGTATCTAATGAAGGCTGCGATTGTTTTGGTAGAAACAGCATATTGCAGTTTCCCAAATTTTAATACGATTCTTTTAACTGAATAACAAATGACATTTTAAAAAATGAACTATTTTTAATAGACTTTGTACCGCATTTTCTATGTGACTTCTGGGTCTTGTTTTCATTTCCAGTGTGTTTATTGTCTTTCCCTATACATTTACTTCTTCATTGATTTAACAATGCTCTATCCACTTATGCTGTTTATTAAATGCTGTGGTTATAATCTCTGTGGAATCCTCAGCTAATTATGTTCATAGTTCTGTAATTGTGTGCAAACATTTTCTCCTGTTGTGATGTTGCCAGGAAGGCCTGTTCCAGGTTTTATTATGATTGTCCTTCTGAGAATGAAAATGCACATATTTTTTTACATACACTTTTACTACTGCAGTCCATACCTATCTTGACGTGACACTTTAAACACTAAATGTATTTCCAACAGCTGAAGAGTGAAAACCTTTTTACTGGCCAATACTACAACTTCATTTTCTTGCTGTGGAGCTCCATTGCCTGTAGATCTCTATCCTGACACTCTTCAAGGCTTCATCTTAGATTATTCTTTTCCCCTATCAGCATGTTCTACAAAAATAACCATATTTTCATAAGATAATTATAGTATTAGAGAGTTATTCCATCAGCAAGATAAACTTTCTTCCATATAGAGTAAGAATTAATATCAACTACTTCCTTCAGAAATATATGAAAAATTCATTTCTTCAACTCTGCTTTCAGTAATCTTCATTTCCATACATCCATAAGTAGCTAAACAAATAAATTAGAAATCGCACCACTCCTAGAGTCAGATTTGCGTATAACTTTGAGACGTGTGGCAGGTGTTCCTAGCAAAATGGACTTTGATTTCTGAGCATGCCAGTATTACCTGTTTGTAAGTCTCGGTATAGTAGCTCTAATCAAACAACAGACTACGTTCAAGTCAAATAAAAAGGTATTTCTTTGTGATGGCTAGACCTTATGATTAGTCTACCATTAAGAAGTATTGCTATGAGAACTCATCGCTCTCTTGCCTTTATAACAAGTGATTTTTATTACAGTGTAGGTAACTCTCACTTTACGTTCATCAGTAAACCTTTATAGCAGTATGAATACATCTCTTAATTTCTTTATGTTTTGTGGTATTTCTGTTCATTTCTTGTAAACGAGCAAATCAACCATCTAACTCCTGTCTCTTAATATTTATAATCTGAGGATCTTTTCTTTCTGGCTGCTTATTAGATGACACAGTAGGCGTTGTCTGTGGGTGGCCAGGAACGTTGCTAGATAGACAACTATTTTAAACTGAATTACAATATAGTAGATAGCAAAGTTTGAGGTACTGGGGTTTTCCTAGCCATGGCCATAGATGAAAACAGATCTGCAGCAATAGGTTTTTTGCTATCCTAAAAGTTGTAGACAACTGATTCTTGTCATGTTTTGCTATGCTTTGATAATAAGAAGTAAATGTCCTGTAAAATACATTGAACAAGGCACAACTGGGGGAATTCCCATATTTCTTACATCTCTATGTTCTGTTAAGTGCTTTCAAATATTATTAAGGAGTTGATTCTGAAAATGGTTTGTTGACATCTTTGTCCATTTCTAGCCCTTATTCTGATCTGGTAAATCTATAAATAGGCACTAGACATGGCATCTATACATCCTCTATGCACAGCATAATGGGCTATATGATTGTCAAATTGTTTCATGCTCTCAGTGATTTTTAAATTACAAAATTTCTCAAAGGTTGTTTGTTCTTTCATATACTTACCCTAATAGTAGTGATTAACTAACATGTAAATACCACTGCAAAATCACTGTGCAAAGTGATTTGTGATCCAGTCACCTTTTCAGACACTCTTTTAAGATTTTCTGTTCTGTCTCCATGGTGTGTTATTTGAATGCATTTCTGAAGTGCATTAAACAGTACTACTGGTATCTCTGCGGTTCTCAATTTTGCCTTTTCTCTCCAGTGGGAAAAATTATTTTAATTATTTAAAACCTATATTTTCTTTGTCAGTTATGGATGACAAGTTCCAAGAAGTTTCCTTATGTGTAGAATGCACAAGAGCTTTTTAGCAATCATATTACATGATGTTCAAAGTGATTCTTGAGTCAAAGAAAGCAATAAAACCTTTGTAAAGACCTGGACAGTTCCGTTAGGCCTTTGGAATAGATTTCTAAATCACAATTTCCATTTTAAGCCATCAGGACTAAGGTAGTCCATGTGTGCCTTCTTCCCAGACCATTATATGCCTGACCATAAGTACCAAGGTTTTAAATTTGACTGAATTCTAGAGCAAGACTGCACAGAAAACAAGCAGGACATGATCTGCTCCAGTAGGGTGAGTGATTAGAGAGATATACTATTTATAGTAAGGTATATTACATTGCTGTAGCCCAGATCAAAGATGATAACAAAGCAGTA